TCTCTCTCTCTCTCTCAGTGATATTTGGATCTGGAGAGGGCCCAGGGCTGAGCTTCTCTTGGGCTTTAACAGCACAGAAGGCTTTTTGGCACCCAGAGCCAAGGTCACGCTGAGTGGCCATATTGTATTTTATGAGAGTACATAAGGCTAGGGCTAAAATGGCCTTGTGATATATTTATTGCCTGTGGCAACAGCATGCAGATCTGCTGCAGTCTTGACTGGAGAATTTTAATGTACTTTGCAACTTTAATAGGATAGGAAGTTGCTACAATGAGTTTTACTGATATCTAATTTGGTGCTATTAAAGTGAAACACAATGCAAGGAACAATTATCTTTAAAAGGAAGCCTTTTAAAGGTTCATTTGGAGACCATTAACTAGTTAAGACTTATGTGTGTTAACTTTCTTAATTATGTCTCTGTGTAATGCAGATATATATTTGTGTCTTTCCTGATGTTTTTGCATTAAAACATTTCAAATGTTCAATCTTTAAAGGGATAATTCACCCAAAATTGAAACTTCTGTCATCATTTACTCACCCTCGTGTCATTCCAAACTAGTTATATATACACTAGCATTCAAAAAAGTATGAAAAGTAATAATTTTGTTCAGCATAAATGCATTAAATTGATTAAAAGTGACAGTAGATACATTTGCAATATTGCAAAATATTTTTATTTGAAATAAATTCTGTTATTCCAAACGTTCTATTTAGAACACTGAAAAAAGGATCACGGTTTCTACAAAAATATTAAGCTTCACGCCTGTTTTCAACATTAATAATAAAAAAAAATTGTAATACCATTTCAGAATATTTCTGAAGGATCATGTGACACTAAACTAACATAATGGCTGCTGAACATTCAGCTTTGCCATTAAAGAAATAAATTACATTTTAAAATATATTAAGATAGAAAACAGTTATTTTAAATTAGAATAATATTTCAACCCCAAACTTTGGAATGGTGGTGTATAATATATTTTTACTTTATTGTAAAATATTCAAGTTTTTCCCAAAAAATTACTTACTGAATGATTCACTAAATGAATGAATCACTGACTCTTCCTCTCTCATTTCAGGTGACCCCAGTGGCCGGACCACCAGAAGGGGGCACCAGAGTGACCATCCGTGGTGTGAACCTGGGTCTGTCCTTCTCAGACATGGTCAACAACGTGCAGGTAGCGGGAATCCAGTGCACTCCACAAGAAAACGGCTACATCATTGCTGAACAGTGAGTGACTGTAGAGCTGTAAAACTCTCTGAGATTAGAATGGGAAAAACTGGTTTAGCTTATCTTTAATCTTTCTCAAAATAGCAAGAGCTGGAAAAGATAATGTCCTACATTACACGTACTGAGAAGCTGTTTCATGGGAAAAAACACCTCGGGTTTTCATCCAGTTCACTTTAAAGCACAGCAGGATGAGTCCATTAAACACACACAGGATCCAATGAACATAGCTTTGATGTCACAAACGTAAAGCGACCAATCAGGGCTAAGGATGAAAGACAGGGTTGGTCATGGTCTTCTCCTTTATGCTTTATTGAGTCTGTCTTATCTGACAAAAACATCTTAACAATGGCAGGAAAACATTTCTGTCTGAAGGGTTAGTTGTCAGCAGTGACCAGGGCTCTTGTGAAGCAGAAACAAGCCCTAATTAGAGTCCAGACAGACCTGGGTTGGTCTCCGCCTGCAGTAGGTCCCATTTTTCAGCATCTGTTTGTGTTTATCCCTGTGATTGTGTCATTAACCCTGTCTGTAAATATCCTAGGATTTCATCATTAATATCAAACCTCCTAGGGGAAAAATTGGGCTAGAGGAGCTAAAACGTGATGATTTGTAGTAGTAGTTTTTGCTAGGACATGCAGAAAAATGGCTGCACTCAGCTTTTTTGTCTAAATTTTGATTTGATTAAGAAAAGGATTAAAAGGTGGAATGTGTAAATCCTTTTAACCAAAGGATTTTGGTTAAAAGGTGAAATGTGTCATTTCTGCACACTAGTATTATAGAATTGCAAAAATAATGTTTGTTTTCAAGCAGGTTTCCTTTAAACACTCCCCTCATCTTTGATTGGCCAGACAAACAGCCCCAAACTCGTGTCATTGGTTGAGCTGTTGCTGTGTCAAGCTTGTCAGAATTCTTAAACAAAGATGTTTTGAAATCTCCAGTGTTTACACTTTGAAGAACTCAACCTACAGGTTTAGTTATAGTTGTCTCTGCATATTAAAATGTGATAGAAGAAAGCATATTAACATCAAAATAATTTCAGTTTTAAATTACCCAGGATGTATTTAGTGCCCTTTATTCTTCACGTAATACACTCCTCATTATCCGTCACTCTTACTGTCTTTTGCTCAAGAAAAATGTCAGAACTGACAGCTAACTGCATATTATTGAGATACTACAGTCTTATAGTTTTTATTAATATTTTGAATTATTTATTTATTTATTTATTGTACATGATTACAAATGTACAAAATGCCTAAATTAAACTAAATGAAAATGAGAACTAGAAGAAATAAAATAAGTTTTTTTTTTTAATTTATTTATTTTATTTCAGTTAAATTTAAGTAACAATTTTTAGTTGACTATAATAACCCAGTGTTGCTAGCACTGGATTACTAGGACACTGCATCCTACCATCTTTATTCTTGAGAGAAACAGATGTCAGCATTCACCATGTCCAGTTCAACAGAATGTGATGCAATTCTACGTTGCATTAAAACTCACCTCAACCTTATTGTACACAGGCATTCTGAACATTTGGCTTTCAAGAATTTATGCCATCATGTTGTAAGGGGGTATCAATAGCGCATAGCGTCTGCATGCAGGTGGAGTATGTCTCCACAGCGCCTCTCTTTGCCGCTGAGGTGGGGACAGACGGAGCGATGGGGGAAACATGCGGTAATTGAAATGCGTGGCGTGCTGCCGGCTGTAAGAGGGAGATTTGTCAGCCCTTCTCTCTTCTGACAGCAGTTTAATCCGAGCGGGATGAAGCCGAGCTGGATTCATTTGTATGGCGCGGCGAAGGGGTGTCACGAGGAAATGGAGAATGCGCCATTGGACCCCATCAAACCCACAAACGGAAATGGGAAGCAAATATCTGTGTTACAACCATCCTGTCTGGTCGTTATATACAAAAGTTGTACACCTTAAGATACCCAAGCTTGCAGTAGATTATTTTATTTTTATTTATTTTTCCCCTTTTGTTATATAAGTAACATAATATGTTAGAGTATTAGCACACACTTGTATTAGGTTGCGGTCACAAAAAAGTCCATTATTTATTGTCAGTGGTGTAGCAATGGATGAAGCACAGCTCACATAGAAGTCACTTTCAAACCAAGTAACTTTCTGTTGCTCAACATGGCAAATTCACGTGACCAACTTAATTTGTGTGAGGAATCTTGCGCCCTTACTCGAAATTCCCAATCACATGGATTCCTATATTAATGACTGGTTTTCAAGCACAAAAGTTCATGAACAAAGGTAAATGTGACTACACCTTTACATGGCTACTTTTGAATGGCTATCAATGGAGAAAGGTGCATTTTTTCATCCACAAAATGGTGTGATAACAACATCTGCCTGCTAATTTCCGAAGCTCTCCAGCCAAACTTGCTCCACGCAGCAGCAATGATTGAGCATTCCAACTTTTACCAACTTTAATTGCCTTAGAAGTGAAAGTCCTCCACTCAGAGTGATTGAGAGGGCATAATGTGCACTGCGAACAGCTGTGAACGCTGTCTGCCGAGCCTGTCAGACTCACCGCAGGAAGCCACATCACGCCCACAATCACGCAGTCTGCGCTGCATGTGTTCCGACAGTCATCCCTGATGATGCGAACACTCGATATCACCCAAACATCGATTGCAGCACACCCGCCCCCGCGTGCTTTCAACTCAGATTTGAATTCTCATGTCGGTTTCATATTTACTTCGTTTGAGGGCCAGTCAGTGGGCTGTGTTTTTATTATGTCATTTGATCTGGCCACCCTTCCGTGAAGCCGATACCTGATCAGCCCGTATGATGTAGCAACATCGATCTGCTCTCTGATCAAAGTGCATGATAACGCTGTATTGATTTGTGCTGGGCATCACTGGTTTCCGTATATGGATGTTTCTGCAACTTCAGGCACTTAAATTTCCCAGGGGTTGATTGTTATTTATTTTATATATTTTTTTTTTATTAAAACATCATTTATATTTGCATCTTTTGGAAAATGTTGCTGCATCCTTGTCCTATATTTATTATTTTTATATTATATATTTATATTAATATATATATATATATATATATATATATATATATATCTGTTTAAAACTGTGATCATATAGATAAAGAGATAAATACACCATATTAATACTTATTTTTTCTATATTTTTTTTAAATAAAAATTTTTTTTAAATTACATCCCCCATTGTGATGTTATTTCCACCACACTACAAATTTTGCTCCAATGAAATTTTTATTCCAGTGTGACAACAGTGTCAATGAAGAGTTTGAGATTAAATAAGAGACTTGTGATGTGTTTAGAAAACTAAAGAACAAGTCAAGGGGAATATCACTTGTGAGCAAAACAGTTCTATTGTTTGACATTTCCAAGCTATAATTTTGTCAAATCTTGTGAAAATATTATTTGTGTATTTAGTATGCATGAAATGCTAGCTTTGAAATAAGCCATACAGTAGCAAGCCAAACTAGTCTGCCATTTTATACCATGATGTAATTTACAATTTCAGAAAAAGAAAATAATAAAAATGACAGAATTCTCTGGTGATGTATGCATGTCCACTATTGGACTACTAGGTTAGTGGACAAATTAAATAAACCAGTATGAAAACCGGCATTCCCATAGGACGATTTTGTCAATTCAGCTAATGGAATGTGTCCGCTAAAGCAATCAAGGAACCAAAGCAGAAATTACATTGAGATCAAGAGGAAATCAATGGAGAGAGAGGAAGAGTCACATACTGATCACTCGGCAGGACTGGAGATGACTTCCAATGCTTTGCTTCCTTACTCTGGAGTCAGTCCAGAAACATTAAGCTTTGTAATCCAGATTAAGGGGACTGAGTGAACAGAAGTTGTGATAATGAAGATTTCTTTCCATTTAAGTGACTTTCATTGAAACAAAGGTTAAAATGTCAAATGTCATTGTGTATTTCTTCTTTTTCAGGATTGTGTGTGAGATGGATGCAGCTCCCACAGACAGTAAACCCGGCCCGGTCCATTTGTGCGTAGGGGAGTGTAAGCCAGAGCTCCAGACGCGCTCTTCTCAACTCTATTCCTTTGTGGTAAGACCTTGAGCTCTGCTACATCTGAATAATGCAGTGAGGTAGTAGTGAAACTGGCCATTGTTTTGGTTTTATTAAACTGGGCTTTACTTGGTCCATTGAAGAAAACTCACGGGTCACTGTGATGTTATGCCTTTGGACAGCTGAACCTTGCTGAGGTTGATTTGTTCTCAGAAGCGCTTTAACAGCAAAAAAGTCAAATCACAGGAAGTGACCCAGAGCTCAACATACTGTACTTCAACTGTTCAGATAGCTTTTTTTTTTGTTCTTTAGGAACAAAGACTTCCTTCTGCACAGATTCATATGGCATGAAATCCATATCTTAATTAGACGTCCAATTTATATATATATATATATATATATATATATATGTATGTATTATTATTAATGTTTAATAATCCTCACAAAACTAAATACAGATTTGCCATTAATCTCTTAATTCTCTATTTTTGAGAGCAGAATAAAAAAATCTAATGGTAATATTGTCAAATATTCAAGTAAATGTGTTATATATAACGTTAAAACCAGTACTATATTTATAATATATTTATATATTTAAATTATAGTAGCAGGATTGTTTGTATCTGTCCAGACAGTTATATAGAATGTGTTGGAACTGTCTCTCCATGCAAATTTGGAGTCATTTAAAAGCCATAAGGTCAATAAATTAACCTTTTGATGGCTCGCATAGCATTTTTATCGGCTAATTGTTCTATTTAGCCCTTTTTAAAGTAGTGTTTTTTTTTGTGCACTTTCAGTAGATTCTTAAATGATGCTGCAGATTAGTGGTTAAAAGCATTATTTACACATGTATTTGCCAAGACATTAAAAGAAAAGCGTGTTTATTGAACTAATGCACTCATCAAGCACAAAAGACTCGAGATATGCCACAAAAACTTGCTAATTTACAGATTGCCGCTGTGTTTGTCATTATTATTGGTAAAACAGCAGCCCTGCTTCCTCCGTTAAGTAGCGAAGCTCTCGTCAGCATAATAGAACTTGTTCTCGGTTATTAAAATATTGAGTGATTATGAATACAAAGCACTACAGGGAACGCACATTGAACACAGAGACAATAAAAGCCATTAAGCGAATCAAAGGAAGGATGGTTGCCATGTTGTCTCGTCGCAGAGGAGCACCTGTGGGAACTCTTGCGCACCTGTCTCAAACACCCATCCGCCGGCCTGGGGTTAATAGATAATCAACAGCAGCATTCACACGCATACTAAGGCAAACAATTATCCATACCACCACAATTAACAGCCTCTGCTAATTAGGGGAGCTGTTTATTTTACAAAATGGCTTCAGCCCCTTTCTGTATGCGTTTATGCATGTTTGTGTGAGCGTGCGTGTGATTTTCCTCCACGCCTTTCATATCGCAGTCAAATATAAAAGCAGCATGTTATCTCAAAAGCTCCGCCAAATGTTGTCGGACAACACGGGGTCCCCAAGCGGCCCACCAGTTGTAGAACAATGCGAGGCTCAACCAAAATTGGTGTTAATTCATTTTTAGTCAATGCACGTGTCAAGTCGGCCACCAGCCATTTCATGTGCTTTCTTAAGACACAGAGCTGCCTTTTTCTGTTTTTCCATCTGCTATTTTCAGTCCCTGTGTACAATAAAGGAAGAGAACTGGGAACTAGAGAGTTTATGTACAACATTTTAAAAGCCTTTTATTTATCCGTGCTTTTCATGTGCTAGCATCACTTATAGACAAGACTGGAAATGCCATTTCTTTATAGCGTTTTATTTCTCTTTATTTGTGAGCTGAGCAGTAAGGCGTATGAGACTGATGAAGGACAGTTGTTATTTACAGATGTAGCTGTCTTTTGTGGACCAGCCACACACATCTAGGCAGCTTCAGATTCAGAAAATGCATGTCTTTAGCTGATTCAGAAAGCTGTGCTGTCATTTCTGTGCTACTAGTGGCACTAAATATATAGTTTAGTCATGAAACTCTAGATGGCGCAGGCTGATGGGGTGTTAACGTAACTGATGTTATTCAGTAGGGGTTGCACCGACAAATATAGGACTAGTCGCTGGTCCTATAGAGGGCGCAACAGGATAAGAAATCTTTGAAGGACTTCCACATTTATGCTCCGAAATGTGGAAGTCCTTCAAAGATTTATGAAATCTTACTTATGAAGAACTTATGAAAAATCTCCTTCAAAGATTTCATCAAAAAAGCTCGTACATCACGCTCAGATCGCGCGCACATAGAAGCATTCAGTGCGGAAACGTATCGTCAACACTGTTCTGTGATTTCTCAATAAAATAGCTTAGAAACTGAAAAGTTCAAGCATATATTTCTTAATAACTAAATCCCACAGCTTCACTACTAGTAGAGAATCGCTGCCAGGTAGAATTAATTCACACACGCAATCGCTCTCACTAATGCATTCATATGAATGTAATCTTTACTGTGCTACTTTATCTGTATCTGATTTAGAACGAGCAGAAATCTGTGAGAAATATAACAACCCAATGACAAAATAACTGATAAAAATGAGCTGTTATAGGAGCAATAGCCATGTGGGCAGCGCTGTGTCATATGCCATAGCTGTGCACAAGGTGTTTGTCACAGCTCCAGACATATTTGTTCATTAATGACGTCATCAGTGACTAGTCGACTTCGACTTGACTTTCATCACATAAAAGTCGACGAAGTTGTTCAACCCTTAATATTCAGAGAGTTAAACGACTTGGCACAAACTGATTGGTTAATGCTGCATATGCAGCCAATGAGCTTACTGCCTTGCATTTATATGGCTGGCTAGCATTCACTAGAGATTCCTGCAGCGGGCTTTCAGAGTTTCTCTGAAACCCTCCACCTTCCCTAGCTCCACCTGTATAGATCTGCTACGGGGTAATTTTATATGCTATTTGTGCAGCAGCAGTATGTCTTAAATACTCACAGCACCGTATCGCCGTATGTCAAGGCAAGTCACCTTTATTTATATAGCACTTTTAACAATAGAGATTGTGTCAAAGCAACTGTACAGCATTAATTAGGAAAATATTGTGTCAATAATGCAAAATGATAATAGTAAACACTCAATTTTCAGTTAAAGGCAGTTCATCATTGAATTCAGTGATGTCATCATCCAGCTCAGTTCAGTTTAAATAGTGTCTGTGCAATCAAGTCGACGATATCGCTGGAAATTAAGTGTCCCCAACTAAGCAAGCCAGAGGCGAGGCGACAGCGGCAAGGAACCAAAACTCCCATCGGTGACAGAATGAAGAAAAAAACCTTGGGAGAAACCAGGCTCAGTCGGGGGGCCAGTTCTCCTCTGACCAGACGAAACCAGCAGTTCAATTCCAGGCTGCAGCAATTTCACATTGTGCAGAGGACTCAACTGGTTCCTGTGGTCTTGTCCCAGTGGCCGTCTAGGAGACAAGGTCCTCACTGGGGATCTGTCTTTGTGGCTCATCTAGTTGTCCTGGTCTCCGCTGACATTCAGGGCTGTAGAAGTCCTCTCTAGGTACTGATCCACTATCTGATCTGGATACAGACTGGATCTGGTGGCTACGGTGACCTCGGAATAAGAAAGAAACAGACTAATATTAGCATAGATGCCATTCTTCTAACGATGTAGCAAGTACATCGGGTATTATGGGAAGTGTTCCCAGTTCCGGTTGTCCTAATTAATGCAGCCTAAAAATCCTTTTAATGGATTTGAATATTAGAAATGTGTTAGTGTGTTATGTGTAAGCCAGGTTAAAGAGATGGGTCTTTAATCTAGATTTAAATTGACAGAGTGTGTCTGCCTCCCAAACAATGTTAGGTTGGTTATTCCAGAGTTTGGGCGCTAAGAAGGAGAAGGATCTGGTGCCCGCAGTTGATTTTGATATTCTAGGTATTATCAAATTGCCAGAGTTTTAAGACTCTGTCAATTTGATGCATTTTGATGTTTTGTATGCATTGGCAGTAGCAAGTAGCCTGTACTTGCTTGCAGCAGCAGAAATAATCTACAACTACAGTAATAACCAACAGCAGCAGCGTAGCAGATCTATTCCGCCAAGACCAAATACATTAACATTGTCATATCCATCACCATGCTAAAATCTTCAGAAAGTTGTCATGATTAAAATGGAATTAATTATATAATTTAGCTTTTTATTATAATATATTATACTATATTAGGTTGCGTTAAATTTATCAAAATTGACAGTAAAGTCATTTTTAAGACTTAAAAGATCACAGGAATAAATTACATTTTATAATATATATTGAAATAGAAAACCATTATTTTAAATTATAATAATATTTCACAGTATTACAGTTTTGTACTTTATTTTTGATCAAATAAATGCAGATTTGGTGAGCATAAAATTTATTTTTTTTTAATTAAAAATTTTACCAAACCTAAACTTTTGAAAGGTATATATGTGTGTGTGTGAGAGTGTGTGTGTGTATATATATATATATATATATATATATATATATATATATATATATATTCAATAATACTCAGTACTGAGACACAGTTTCTTTTTTCAGGGAAATTAATATTGTTAAGATTAATTAATCTGCATCTTGAACTTTAAGTAAAGGTTTTTTTTGTCTCCATCTCTTGCTTGTTTCCTACCCATATTCTCTTTCTGTTTTTGCAGATGCCATCGGTCAAAGGATTGTCCCCCAGTCGGGGTCCAGAGTCTGGAGGAACTAAAGTGACTATAATGGGGGAAAACCTGGGGGCAGGCAGCAGCGTCAGTGTGCTTTTTGGGAACCAGACCTGCGAGTTTTATGAGTAAGAATCAGCCTTTTTAAATACTGTTTGAAATCCCTATTTTAAGAAATGTAGCTTATCAAAATAAATCTTAAGTAATAATGCAATAATACAATAATAATTAATAATATAGCTTGATTAGTTTTTTTTTTGTTGATAAAGTTAGTGTGAATAATTGAGGCTAATGTTCCATATCTTCACTTACTCTTTACATTCCACATGACTTATATCAATCAAAGAGAGTTTCTGATTATTTACTGTTCCTCTAGATTTCCCACTCTTTAACTGTTTTCTCATCCTCTCTCTCTAATTTTGTATGTAAATATCATACCCCTGTCTGGCGTCTTACTATATCTCCTCCTTTTCCGTCTCTCCAGGATCACAATTGAAAGATGAGGCTGATTGTAGTGCTTTAAGGTGCAAGAGAGCGACAACTTTAATGCGATATTGGCTAATTGCAGATTTCTATTTTGTCCTGTGTTCCTGTGGAAGGATGACGCATTCAAGTGTGTGCGCGAGGTTGCAATAAGTAATAGCTTAACACTCTAATACACTGCAGAGAGAATGACTAATGCTCACTTTGCACAGGTAGCACTTTCAGTGAGAGCTGTAAGAAAAGACTGCAATTGAAAAAGAGCAGAGAGCCACCCACTAGCACCATTCATATATAGTGTGTCTGAACAATGTCTAGCCATCTGTTATTAAGTTAAAACTTTGTGTCGTGCTTTGTCTCTTGTCAGAATCTGATTGGTTTGTGTCTGTTTGCTTTGTCCTCAGACGGACTATGACGGAGATTGTGTGTTACTCTGCCCCTTCTCTGACGGGTGTGGGGCCGGTTCAGATCAGCGTGAGCGTGGATCGCGCCCAGGTCCAAGATAGCCTGACTTTTGAGTATATAGACGACCCCACCGTTCAACGCATCGAACCGGAATGGAGCATCGCAAGGTAACTGTACATATATGATGCAGTGTTTTAGTATTGGATTATGTAAATCAGAAAGTTTGGCCATGTATTTAAAGCTTGCATTTAAATCACTATTAGCAAACACTTTTGACTTTTTGAGGCTGATGATTCTCATACCATTTGAATGGATATCAGACACATTGCTGCAAGAAATTGATCTGATTCACTGAATGCAGCTACTAATATTTCTTGCTGCTGAAGTCTTAAAATCCTTTGCACAGTCTGTAGAGTATGTCTCATGTCTAAATATAACTTTAAATAACAGCATGTAATGTAATACCAAGGGAGCCAAATGATTGCCCATTGACTTCTATTATATGGACAAAAAAAAGAGACATTTCATAAATCATGACATAATTTGGGTGTGCTATCCCTTGGAATGATTTTTGAGTATTTCACTGTGCAGAACTGGACTGATTATACAGAGCCTCAACATATTCATATGAAAGAGCTGCACATGATTAAATACAGTAGCAAAAATTAGACAGAAATAGAATGTGCTGAGAATGATTATATAAGTGATGCTGAGATACAGGTTCATTCCAAGCTGGAGTTAGAGAGAGAAACACAGAAAGAAAATGTCTCTCACCAAATCCAGCACATAGATACACAAGTACATATTATCATGCCCACCAAAGGAAATAGTATTGCTCAAAGGTTGCTTTTTCATAGCTCCAAAGATTTAAAGGGATAGTTCACCCCAAAAAATGTAAATTTTCATCTTTAACACCCTCATGTTGTTCCAAACCTGTATGACATTTTTCCCTTCTAAAGAACACAAAAGAAGATGCTTTGGAGAACATTGGGAACCAAAACACATTGGATACCATAGACTTCCTTTGTATGAACATAAAAAATAGCATTGTGACAGTTGTCAATATATCTTCTTTTATGTTGTATACATAAATATACAGGTCATACAAGTTTGAAACTACATGCAAGGGAGTAAATGATGACTGATTTTTTTTTATGTTTTGGGCAACTATAACAATTCACATTAATGTACAACATGAAAGCATGAACATAGTCTAAGGTGTTTCTAGTAAAATATTTTCAGAAAGATGAGACAGAATATAGCGCTATATTTGGCCTGGGCGATATTTATCGACGGTACACCTTCTTCGATTACGATATAAAAAATGTTTGATATAGTGCATGATATAGGCACGTGCTGTCTGACGCAGACATCACACACAAACACGAACATGAGTGCTGTGCCTGCCTGTGATGAGGAGATTGTGAGTAAAGAATGAATATTAGTCGAATTTAAAATAAACATTTGCATTTGAATGCAAAAATAGTACAATCCAAAGTTAGATGTGCGTCAGGGAGCGTCATCAGTGGAGCACGAGATGCGGTGATGATGATGTAAGTTACATTGTAGTTTAATGTCTAGCCCACGAGGCGCGCAGTTGCTGTGTTATTCATTCAAAATATTAAAGAAATATAGAAGCTCAATGCGGAGAAGATCTTGAATGGGTTAAAACCGAAACCAAGCCATTCACACAGAACGCATATTCAGCACATTTTCTAGACGGACAAATACGATTGCTGCACTCACGTCTCACACAAGAGATGTAAACAGCCATGCAAAGTTAAAACAGTTTAAACTTTTAGAAAACACATCGCAAATTTGTGGAGGTTTATTCCTTTTCACTGCGTTCAATGCTGTTTTGTTCATAATTGTTTATGCAATTTACGAAATTATATTTGATTTATATGAGTTAATTTAGACATAATGCACGTTTTTCATAGACAGTTACTTCCTTGCGTTGACAATTTAATGTGCTGCATTATTTTGCTCAATGCGCCCTCCTGTGGCCTCGGGAGACAAGCCAAAAGTTTAACCTATTTAATCTGCATATAAAACATTAGAAATTAAATATTTGTTTAATTTTTATTTTGTTTTTGACTGTTAAAACAAAAAAATATTTGTTGTTTGTCTCAATAAATTGAGTTAATTTAAAAATACAGTGGTTAAATGTAAAAAAAAATTCTATTGCTCTTTGTTTTAAAAAAAGGTTATAAAAAATGTCAATAATTATCGATACCGAGCGATATGAAACATTATATCATTGATAAATGTTTTTGCTATATCGCCCAGCCCTACGCTATATTATTAATTTGGTTAGCATAGATCAAATCATTTGATGAGAAATATTTGCGCTCATACTGAGATTTCTGACTTTTATCTTTTTCGTTTGATCGTATAGCTGTCTAGGATGAACAGTTGCGATATTGAATGAATCACCTATGTGATTTTTCATTCTTGTGGGCGAGTGCCCCATGCCAGGGCATCAGTAGATGGGGTCACAGTGCTGTATCTGTTGGACCAGAGCGTGGCCACACTGAACAGAGCACCGTACAAGCGGTGCCTGGCAAATGAAGTGCTCATGAGTAAACAACTGAAACACCTAAAGCTAGAGCTCCTCACCCATTCCACTCCCAGACACTCGGCTCTTTTGTTGTGCTTTATCAAGCCGTGGACATTCCCAGAATGCTAAGCAGGATCACCGCTGCTTCTGTTTTTTTTTTGTATTTTCAAAGACACGTCTAGTATGTTTGATTAAATCTACTGAAGCCAGTTAAAAGCATCTTTAATCAGAACTTTCTCAAATGCTTATTATCTTCTGAGCACCACATCACAAAGAAACAAGTTTTAAGGGCAGTTTTGATTCAAGTGGAGGTGAGTTACTTCTGCATCAAAATTTTGAATTTTCAAGAATTTTCACATTCATACCATCTTGTGTGTGTTTTTTTTTTAGCGGACACACGCCTCTGGTGGTGACTGGGACTAACTTGGATGTCATTCAGGAGCCGAGGATTCGGATCAAGTACGGCGGGCGGGAATCCGTAAACGTGAGTAGCTTCATTTGTGTTATCGTTGGTTCCTCAATTATCCGCCCTCAGTTTTGAAATGACCTTAGTTACCTGAGCTCAGGGGCTTCTGGGAGAACAGCTCTCTCATGTGAGCTGATATCTCATGAGGGCCGACGCAATGAAACCAAATCGTATCAGTTTGACCTCAGAGATGCACCACCTTGGGAAGTGGGATGCTTTGTCTGCAGGTTTGAGTTAATTATCGGTGACTTTCAGAAGAGAGAGGATCACACAATCTGCGCGCTGCCTTTTTTGGGATGCATTAGACTAATTTCTGTCTTTTCTGTTGACCCATGGAGGCGAGATCCGCCGTGACTCACTGCCACAGCTCCAGAAATCTCATATATCTCCTGCCCACAAGCCTCTGTGTGACCTCTTTTTCAAGCTGTGTATCTGTAATTTTGACTAAGTACCCTGCTGAATTATTCAGTCTGTGCAAAGTGCTGCAGATGAGGCATTTAATGTGAGCATTTTACTCCGCTCATACCACCTTTGTCAAGCTGGAATTTGTTAGGCATTATTTGCAGAATCCTGCATAAAACCAGCTTCATCCGAGGCGGTACTGGTGGATAGTGGCCAGTTAAAGAGGGTTGTATTGGTTAATGGGTTTCAAAGGATGATGAACTGCAGACAGAATGGTTTGGTTAGCATAAAGACATCCCAAAAATAATAAGGGCTGAGGAGTCAGTACAAATTCAATTTGCTCGCCACTGCAGGGAGTCCGAGTTTAATTAATGGAATAGGATTGGTCAGTGTAGTCAGACAGAAAGATGGGATAGCCAGTGGCGTCTCATATTTTCTGTTGTATTATCGTGCTTTGTATCAACTATCACTTTAAAAGCAACAAAAAAGTCAGAGAGAAGGTGGAAAATGCTCATAATGAAACTAAATTAGGCGCCAAAAAGTATGACAGGTCTCCATGTACGATAGGTGCATGTTTTTGAACAATATGATATGTAAATATCATTTTGGGAATATGAAAGTGTTCAGAAGTAATCACACATTGTCTTTTACTTTGCTGAGGTGAAAGCAAACTGCTATAGTCTTTTTTCCTCTGTTCCCGATAGCATAACTGCACTTCAGTCCCCAGCTGTACAGATGTACCTGTGTAGTTCTCCTGAAAGTCACTTTTAGTAAAAGAGACACCAACTGCGCAATGAGGAGTGACAGCAGCCCCGCGTTCCTCCACGCTTCACAGAGCCCAGAGCTCTTAGAGTTCTTAAAGGGACTCGTGAAATATGTTGTGTGGGCGCTGTCTGATGTGTCAGGTGCTAGTGCCGTCTCTTTCTTTTTCTTTCTTACTTTTTACAACAGTGGAAAAAAAAACAGAGGTAGACAGAGAAAGGTTGGCTTTTGCCTCTTAGGCCTCATCACCAAAGACTCAGCTGGCTTTGATTCCCTGCATTTTTATTAATCGTTGAGGTTAAGATCATGTATGTCTTCATCCCCCGTTTTGCTCCGTATTTTGGGGGAGGGAGGTGGGGAAAAAACAGCGGCATAATCTGGTAATCAGACCCGAGCGTCCGTCAAGGCAGCCTTCAAACTGTCTTTTGCCTCCTCCCCAAATTGCTTCTCTTCCTCCTCTCCTCCCCTCCCGTTACCTGGTGGGGTTCTCAGAAGCCGAACGAACGGCATACAATTGCCTTTGTGCTTCCTGCTGTACCTATTACCAACCCGCAATTGAGACATTAATCGTTTTCCTGATTATAGCTAAAAGATTAGTTTTTCTACCTTTGTCTTCTCTCAAGGAGGAGAAAGAAAAAAAATGCTTGACGTGTGCCAGCGGAGAGATCCGGTAATGAAGTCTGGAGACAGATTCCTAAAGCTTTGCGCGCCACTATCTGAGACGATCACAAAGGCACTTCAGTTTTTTCCTTCTAAAATGAAGCAATCAGACGCTCCCACCAATCAGTGTCAAAGACCTCCCTAGATACCTTGGATAAGAGTGCGCTTGCAAAAAAAACAACATGAAGAACATGAACTATGGATGATAAAAGCATCTTAGTGTTTAACAGAGCCACGGGCATTTTTCTACAATCATGCAGATGCTTATAGTAGTTCTACATTCGCCCTTATTTCCAGCTGTCTCATTTTTTGCCATTATATAGTTACATGTGCATGTACTTGAAAAACAAAGGGCATAATTCAGAGCTGGTGGGCAGCTCTGCTCAGTCATTACCATGAAACGTTTTATTCTCCTGTGTCAGTTTGCTGTGATGGGTTCAGAAGAAGATATCATGCTGTTCACACTGTACTGCGTTTCAGTCAAGCAGAGAAGGTTCATCATTTGCTCAACTTTGTGTTTTTGGACCCCATTGACTTTCATTGTATTTATATGTACTGTGTGTGCGTGTGTGTGTGTGTGTGTATATACAGTGGGGCAAAAAATATATATACACAGGTTTACCTTTCTTCTTTTCCTTTGGTGGAACATAAAATAAGGTATTTTTAAAAACGTCTTAGTACATTGTTTGTTTTGTCCCATACAATGAAAAGTCAATGGGGTCCAATGTTGTTGTTTTTGTACCTCACTGACTTTCACTGTATGGACAAAAACAGTTGAAACAATCTTTAATATATCTTCTTTTATTTTCCACAGAGAAAAAGAAAGTCATGCATGTTTGGAACATATCAGGATGAGTAAATGATGACAGACTTTTCATTTTTGGCTGAACTATCCCTTTGCGGCATTTCTACCATTTTCACTGAGTAACTTGACAGATTTTACAGATTTTAGCCAGGGAGCACCATCTCTATGCAACTCTTTGTCCTAGAGCATCGGAGAGATGCTTGGATTGATTAGTTTAGGTGGGTAGGACTGTGCTTTGTGCTGAGTCATGTGTCAGTCCATGGAAGAACCTGAATCCAATTATTTCAGAGAGACCGTAAAGGATCCCAATTATTTCCACAGCCAAATACCTGCAGCTACTGCAGTCTGGTCATGGAAGGACAGGAGAGGAACTCGGATGTTATTAGTCTGGTGCAGGCCCTGAAGTGAAGCTAAAAAGACATTTGGTTTTGACCCACTCAGTATCTGCATTTCCTTCTGCTTACAGCAGGTGTTATTTAAAATACAGTTAAAACCTGCTAATTAAATCCAGCCATGTGGAAAGCTAAATCTTTCCCCCACTGTTGGAAAACTGGTAGCTTGATGTGGGCGGAAGTGAAGAAACAAACTGGTACAGCAAGACAAAATGTGACAACAGTCAGTGCGCCTCCAGCCAGTTTGAAACAGATGGCATACAGAGGCAGTGCTAGGCTCTTCCAGGCCGTGCCAGGCTGGTTGTGGCCACAGCATCTGTCTCTGACATGGCACTGCCACGCAAGGACAGAGAAACACACATACGGTTCAATCGCATTAGACCCTTATCTTGTCCTGCTTAGCTGGCCAGCAGCATTGTGTGGCATTTAGAATGGCTTTTCAAATTAAAGACATAAAGGTTGCAGGTTCAGTGTTTGGTAGGGGTGGTCCATGAACTGGAGAAGTGCTGGAACAGTCCTCCGCTGTCATCAATGTAGTAAGTAATAATTTAGTGCTCACTTTTATCCTAAGTGACTAACAGTACACAGTACACTAACTACAGCGACGATATCCCTGAAGCAATCTGGTTTAAGTGTCTTGCTCAAGGGCACAATGGTGGTAGTTCATGGATCAGCCCTTGTGGGGCTCAAACTTGCAACCTTCAATCACATAATCCTACATATTTTATATATATACATATATATCAATGCTGAATTTTTCTAATCAGAAATACAGTAAAACAATAATATTGTGAAACATTGCTATTTAAATTAACTGTTTTTCTATTTGAATTTATTGTAAAATGGAATTTATTCCAGTGATGCAAATCTGAATTTTCAGCACCGTTACTTCATTCTTCAGCGTCACATGATCCTTCAGAAATCATTCTAACATGCTGATTTTGTGCTCAAGAAACATTTCTTATAATTATCAATGTTGAACACAGTTGTGCTGCTTAATATTTTTGTGGAAACTTTGATTTCTTTGAAAAAAAATGCATGTAAACCCTAATATAATTTAAATGTCTTTTTTGTTTATATCAGAAGTATCTTGTCATTTTTCTGTATTGAGTGACTGATTGAAAGTCCTATCAAAGGCTTTTTAGCTCCACTAAGAATCAGTTTTTCTACAATTTAACTAGATCTGCATTTCCTCTGTGTCCTCTCGGTTACCTCACGTGGGGTGCTGTGGAGTGTGTAATGGGATTACAGGTTTTGATGACAGTGTGACTTTAGAGTTTAACCAGATCCAGACCCTCTGAGCTACAAGAGAGCTTCTGTTATCATGCAAACACTATGCATAATATGAAGTGCCTACAGAAGAGATCTGAGGCCAAGGTGGCGGAGTCAAATGTTGTTTAAACCTACATGCTGTTTAGTCAGCTGCAGTGAAAGTTGTCATTTTGAAAGCATGTTTTTTATGTTTGAATTTCTTAGGGAAATGTAGTAGGTTGGTCCTTCTAGATGATTGATATTTTGCTGTATTTAAGAGATGGTCAGGCCTGGTAACCAGAAGGTTGCAGGTTCAAGCCTCAGTTTGAGTTTTTTTGAAGGATTTTGCTTGTTTTTGTGCCTTATTCAGATTCTCAGTTCCAGAAATCGGGCCTCGAGGATGAAAACATTTTCTTTGTAATACCCCCCATAGTGTTTACTTGTAACGGCATCAACCTAGCCAGCAAGGATAAGCAAAACCAGTTAATCACTGACAAGAAAACCATCTCAATCTCAGAATTGATAAATATCACTAATTATACACTCCTTAAGGGCCAAGTGAAGAGGAAGAGCAAAGGAATGAGGAACCAAAAGCTATGGAATGAGATGCACCCTCAGTCTCGCGCAAATCAAGTTTGTGTGGTCAAAATGATTTGGTATCGATTGTGGCTCTGGCTGCGAGGAGACGAGATGCGAGTAGGAGGTGTGGTGCTCGCCGGTCCTGCCGTGCTTTGAAGATATTTAGCTCTAATTAAGTTTCTCCCCTGAGTGTCGGGGAGAAGAAAGAAATTAGATGAAAACCTCCCGGCACAGTAAGAGTTTCACAGCAATCAATTTTTGTTGTTCGAGCGTCAGCGCTGCTCTCTGCTACTCCGAGGGAACGGTTCAGTGCCTGTGCACGTAGACTTGAGTGCATCCGTCAAGTGTGACTGCTGAAGTTTATGCAGTACAGATCACAGTTGTTGCACACTTGAGGCATGAGAGGGCTACAGTTTGCATCATTTCAGCCCAACAATGTAATCACATTGGATTCGGGGCTTAGCGATACGTTGAGCTTTGTTACTTGTGCTACAGGTTCCAGCTACACCCTGAGACTAATCAAACTCTAGATTGTTTGATCTTTCTGTAATATGTAATATGTATATATTACAGAAAATTAAACCTCTGTAAGGTCCATTTTTTGTATTGTTGAAATATTTTCATGCTAATTAATGACATTTCCCACTTTTCATTTTATTTATTTATTTTTGTTATTATTTTATTTAAAACAAAATCATAAATTAATGTTAATTGAAAACAAATACCACTATGATGTGCTTGCAATAGCGTTATTTTAGTATCATTGATATACTATTATAGTTTTTGTTATTATTTTGAATACATTTTTTTTATTTAGTCTTCATTTTTAAGTTAAAATAAAGTTTTAGTAATTTTGTTGTTTTTTTCTCATTTTTTTATTTGTTTTTGTTTCATGTAAAACTATGTATGTCTATATAGTTCTTATTAATTTTTATTTTAATTAACAGTTATTTTAGCACTTAGTTATACTAAACTAAAACGATGCGAAACGATGCCTTGGCAACTAGTGGGAATAAAATTAATTTATGATTTTTATATTTTTTTCCTGTTCATATTTTAAATGTTTATTTTATTTCAAGTAACATTTTTTTAGTTTGTATTAATAACCCTGCTTCGCAATTTAAGTATTTTTCTTTCTGCAAAATATGATTACTTATTTATTTTGTTCAAAATCAAGTCGTCACCTTTATTTGTATAGTGCTAAACTGATTGTGTCAAAGCAGCTTTACAGTGGCAAACAGAAAAATAGTTTGTCAATAATGCAAGAAGAAAATAACAATTTTCTTTGTAATTTTTCCAGCTAAAATCAGATGACCCGCGCGTGTTCTTGACAGGTTTTGTGCTAGATATGCAGCTCATTTTATCTTAAAGAACAAAGCCTCACAATAATGTGTGACATGGCGTGATTCGATCAGAAGAGCATAATTTACACTTTTAATGTTTTCCCTCTGAGTTTGTTCCTGATATTTGAATTTAAAAGCTACTCTTACATTTGTTCTCCAGCTCCGTTGTTGTCTAACAAAAGGAAATGCATCTGCAGTCTTTTCAGTTCAGTAAAACACTTGAAAACAGATGGTATCAAAGGGATCTTAATGGGAAAGAACTGAAGTGAGATGAAACAATGGATAGCAATTACTCTCGAAAAATGCTGATGAAAATTAAGCATATTTTTCTCTGTCTCTCTCTCATTTCCAGGTGTGTAAGGTTCTGAACATCACGACTATGAGCTGTCTGGCTCCCTCGCTGACAGCCGAGTACAGGCCGGGTTTGGACTCAGTCAAGCACGCAGACGAGTTTGGCTTCATCTTCAATAATGTGCAAGCTCTTCTAGTTTACAACAACACTAACTTAATGTACTACCCCAACCCTTACTTTGAGCCTCTCAGCACCAATGGCATGCTGGAACAGAAACCTGGCTCACCAATCATTTTAAAGGTACTTCCATCCTCATGCTTGACCCTTTAACCTAAGAGCTACAAATCAGACTGATAGTATCTAAGCATATACAATGTTTCTTAAAAGATCTGTTAACCGTAAATATGTATATACACAGAAATAGTCAGTAGTGTAAGCTTTTCAAACGTACCTAACCATCATCCACATGTGCTGTGTGTGTGTGTGTGTGTTTATATCAGGGTAAGAATCTGGTTCCTTCGGCCTCTGGAGGAGTGAAGCTTAATTACACTGTTCTGATAGGAGAGACTCCCTGTTCTGTCACCGTATCGGAGTCTCAACTGCTGTGCGAGCCACCAAATCTCACTGGCCAGTACAAAATCATGGTAAGACTATTTTTCAACCCAGATCTAAACCATCTTATAAGTGGTTTGAAATCTGATTTTTGGAAACAAGTTTCAGTATGAACTGCATGTATACAACACCCCATATAGTAAACTACAGTACCATTCAAAAGTTTGGGGTCAGTATTTATTTATTTATTTTTAAGAAATGAAAATCTTTATTCAGCAAATACACATTCAATTGATCAAAAGAGACAGTAAAGACATTTAGAATGTTACAAAAGATTACTATTTCAAATAAATGCTGTTCTTTTAAACATTCTCTCCAGTAAAGAATCCTGAAAAACATTAATCACAGTTTTCATAAAAAATTAAGCAGCACAACTGTTTTCAACATTGATCATAAAAAGAAATGGTTCTTGAGCAGCAAATCTGCATATTAGAATGATTCTGAAGGATCATGTGACACTGAAGACTGGAGTAATGATGCTTAAATTAAGCTTTGCCTTCACTAGAATAAATAAAAATTTTAAATATATTAAAATAGAAAAAAGTTATTTTAAAGTGTAATAATATTTCACAGTATTGCCATTTTTACTGTATTTTTAATAAATAAATGTAGTCTTAGTGAGTATAAGAGATTTCTTTTAAAAACCGACCCCAAACATTTGAATGTAGTTTTTTTTCCCCTTTCTGCTCTGTTTTTGTAAAAGAAAGCTCTAATAATCTGATTGAAAAATGAGTCCGATTTCTGAGAACAATGTCTCATGTGTTTTACATGCTTGAAAGGCCCTTCAGTACTTGTTTACTAGATTTGAGACCTGTGCTGTTGAGGAGGGTGTTAAATGTCTTGTTTAAATGCTCATTGTTTACTATTGTTCTACCACTGGTTGAGACTCAGACCAGACCTTCAGCAATGCCACAGTCTTGCTGCTGTCACCTGGTTCCCTAGAAACAGAAAACCAATTACTTAGTGCTGTGTCAGTGCTGCCCAAAACACAATGTGTATGTGTGTTTTTCTATATTTTTGTTGGTTCAGAGATTAAGGTATATTTTTACACCCTGTATCTCTGTGTGTGCATCTTTACGTGCGTGCATTTATTCTTGATTGATTCTCATGTGTAAATATATGTGGGTTTGTTCTCTCAGGTGCAGGTCGGTGGTCTGCATGTGTCCCCCGGCTCAGTAAACATTCTCTCTGACAGCCTCCTGACTCTTCCTGCCATTGTCAGCATCGCTGCCGGCGGCGGCCTCCTCCTCATCATCGTCATCCTTGTGCTTATTGCCTACAAGCGTAAATCCCGCGAGAACGACCTGACACTCAAACGACTCCAGATGCAAATGGACAACCTGGAGTCCAGGGTCGCGCTGGAGTGCAAAGAAGGTGAGAAAGACACTGACATCGCCTTTTCACTATTTTGCATGATTGATTATTTGTGTTTATTTGGAAGAAAATAATTGTATGTTTAATTACAACCACACATGTTGTGGAAAAGCCACAGTTTAATGAGTCAGATTAAAGCATTTTAATTTGTTTTTGACACTTATTAGTGTGTGTGTGTGTGTGTGTGTGTGTGTGTGTGCGCGCGTTTTTGTGACAAATGAGGACATGAGTGTGTGTGTGTGTGTGTGTGTGTGTAAAATATGAAGATGCAAAAAAAGTCAGTCTTCAATTTTTTTTCAAATGAGCTTTTCTATTAGGCTCCTATTAAAATAGCATTACACATTTTTGAAAATTAAGCATTCAATAACTGACTAATAACCTTTTCTTTGATATTAAAGTGAAATTACTGAACCTAAACATGGGAGCTTGATAAAGATGCTCATTTAAAAGAGAACATTTTAGAAAAATCTATTATCAGTAGATGTGTTCTTTGGGAATGGAACCCATGACCTTGGTGTTACAAACACCATGCTCTTTTAGTTACAGGAAATGATTGGGTTTGGGGATTGTGAAATGTCACAGGATGGATTTTGTCAAATGTTTCTGTTAATGTTTTTCACCAATTAAATTTTTAGTCATAGAGCGATGCAACAGACACCATTGTTACAAACACCATGCTCTTTTAGTTACAGGAAATGATTGGGTTTGGGGATTGTGAAATGTCACAGGATGGATTTGAAGTGTCAAATGTTTCTGTTAATGTTTTTCACCAATTAAATTTTTAGTCATAGAGCGATGCAACAGACACCAGCATTTGAGGGTTCCAGGAGGCTGACAGATAAAACCCTTTCTTACACACAGAGAGAGCGTCCCTGACCTACGGTTAGCGGGTTTGAGAGGATAAGGTTTGTGTTGACTGATTCTGGAGCCACAAGGAATTTAAGATGCAGAAGTATTAAAGGGGCAGATTGAGTCCTGCACACCATGAACGCCTGTGAGAGAGTGAGTTTAAGATGAGAGAAAAGGCATAGAGAGAGACGCCGGCCCGAGATGAAGAGGACAGGTGAGGGGAGATGATAGAGTGAAGGCAGAAGGAACGTTCCAGAAAAGAGAAATAAAGAAACGTGAGGGGAGAGAGAAAGAGAGATAGATAACTCCCTCAGGGAAGAGTGCTGCCCCAGGCTCTGTCAGAATGGACCCAATTAAAGACATCCCACCTCCAGTTTCCAGCAGCAGGGGACAAGCACTTCAGCAGCCTGCAATTTATTCTCTGTGTGTGTTTGTGTGAGCGAGAAAACCATTAATAGAGAGAAGCTGAGAGGTTATTTTGGTTTGCTCTCTTTGTCTGCCTGCAACACCCTTCAGGAACTTCATAAAAACCTCAAACTGGACAAAAAGTCTTCAGAGATACTGATTAGCAGTTCAGCAGTTCAGGTTTTGTTGTGTTTGGACCTTTAATGTGACTACAACTTCTCAAAAATCTCAAGAAATGTTCACGTGTCACCCCCATATATCATGTTTAAAGTAAAAGTTTCTGTTCCAGTTCGTATATCATATATTTAAAGTAATTTAAAATAAGAAATTATATCTTTTTGATGACAGTTAAAAACTTTTTCCTCTCTAAATTCTCATTACTATAATACTTTTTGATCTTTGAGGGTAAAATATTATTTGATAATATTAATAATGTTATATTATTATTATATTGTGATTTTCATATAATAGTTATTTAAATGAATAAAACATTAAAAATGTTCCATATATTTTAATGCACTTATACTTGTTTTTTCATCAAAAATATATCAGCATAAATAAAAGCATATATTAGTACAACAATAAATACTTTCCATTTGGAGATTTCGAATTTGAATGAATTTTATTTGAAGTCAAATAAAATTATAATTTATATATTTATCAAGTTTTTCTTGATTTTGTGGCAAAACATGACCTGGACATTGAACGTCAATGTTTGAATGTTTCAGTGTATTGAAATTGTTTCTCTTTTTTTCTCCTCCCCCTTTTTGTTTTCAGCTTTTGCAGAACTGCAGACAGACATTAATGAGTTGACGAGTGACCTGGACCGGGCCGGCATTCCCTATCTGGATTACCGCACATATGCCATGAGAGTTTTATTCCCCGGCATTGAGGACCATCCTGTGCTCAGAGAGCTGGAGGTGGGCTGCGGTCTATGTTAAAGGGGTGCTATTATGCTTTTTAATTTTTTCAACTTTAGTTAGTCTGTAATGTTGCTGTTTGAGCATAAAAAAGATCTGCAAAGTTACAATGCTCCAAGTCCAATTCAAAAGGAGATATTTTGTTTAACAGAAATCACTTTTCAAAAACTACATGAACGACTCGTTTGGACTACAACGCATATTTTCCGGGATTTGTGATATCACAAATATCGACGAATGGGACGAGACCTGGTTGAGCTGCACTAGAGAAGGCAACCAGTGTTATCACTATGTCGGAGACACGCTAGCTTTCCCAAGGCAGACGAACTTAGAGTGGTTACAATCATCCAGGTTTAAATCGCGCTCAAATTGATTTGATTTTGACGCAATATTTACACTGAAGCTCACAGAGTTACCCTATGGTAAGGGGCATGACATTTCCCGACCCAGGTGCCGAGTGCTGCCAATCACAACACACACTGGCCCAGCTAACCAATCACAGCACATTTCGTATTTCAGAAGACGGGGCTTCATTTGTTACAGGAACTATTCGAGCCGTTCATGCCAGACTGAGGAGAGAGGTGTTGTAATAATGTAAAATATGTGAAAAATAATGTGTTTTTCGAACAACCTAGTATGAGAGCCTGTTCTAGTTCACCCCCAAAACGAAATCAAGACTTTGTAAAAGAGCATAATAGGACCCATTTAAGAGGATTTATTTCATCAACACTTTTCTCTAACAAGTTGTGCTAACCAGGTGCAACATGGTGCACATTTCTGTGCCATGTGACACAATCATAGGCAATCAGATTGGATATTTAATTTACAATTATTTGGAACAGGATTTTAGAGACTACCCAGCGCAATGACCATAAAATGACCATAAAAATGTCTAACCTGGTTAGGACATTGTGTCATTTACAGCTTTTCATGTAGCATGTGCTCTTGTTTTTTATTTAAATATGCATTAATGATATTAGTACATTGACAGTTGCAGTTGGCTTATAAAAATGTTTGTATTTAACAGCGAAGATGTTGTTGTGTGTTCCAGGTCTCTGGTAACGGGCAGCTGTGCGTTGAAAAAGCTCTGAAGCTGTTTGCCCAGCTGATAAACAACAAGGTGTTTTTGTTGACATTCATCCGTACACTGGAAATGCAGCGCTCCTTCTCCATGCGTGACCGTGGCAATGTGGCGTCGCTAATAATGACGGCTCTCCAGGGTCGACTGGAATACGCCACGGATGTGCTCAAACACCTGCTGTCCGACCTCATCGACAAGAACCTGGAGAGCAAGAACCATCCCAAACTGCTGCTCAGGAGGTTTGCGGCTTACTTCATGTTTCCAGTTTCATTTAGTTTTTCATTTACTTTGTAGTGTTGAATGAATGCGTTACTAACTGAACTCAAAGTTTTGTTGTGTTATCTAAGCCGAGCATAATAGCTATATTGATTCATGATCCATAACTCTACATCCCTCCAGTCTCGCAGTACGGCCCCATTGTCAGTGTCACTTATCATTTGTGCGCTAGGTACTCATAAAACATTCATGAGCAGCTCAAATCTACTTGTTTTTTCCTCTCTCGGCTGTCCTTTATGCTTTCCCTCCAAATTTGTATTGGTTTTTCAAAGTCTTTCCAAAGCAGCGTGTTAACTAGAAGATTTAGACTAATAATGATTAAACAAAGAGTTGTCCAAGGGCTAAGCGCAGTCCATGGCTGCTTTCATTACAGCCCCACTTGATGGAGGCCGAGTGTATTTTAGCTTTAGCTGGAGGTGATTAGTTCCCGCCGACTGCGGTGCTATATCAGCTATACATCACACTTTGAATATTCAAAGCAGACTGGCCAAACAAATACCACAGCCATTCCTTGTTTGCTGTCTCTCGATCTTATTGAATGATTTTTGGTGTTTCGTTACGTGACTCAGCTCATTAATAGTCACAGTAAATAGATGCAGGGGAAATGTGGATTACGCCGTTATTTAACTTATTATCTGCTGTCATTAGGAACACAAAACACCAATCCCCCACGCTGGCAGGCTGGGCCGTGGGGATCAGGGGCCCGTGATTTTAGATGACACTTTGTTCTTTTTTTCTCTATGGGAATTTAGGAGATTATCGATTCGACATGCTCCTTTTGGTCTTATTCACAGATCCATGTCTTCACGTTTCCAGGAAGCATCTGGAAAACAAGAAGGCTATATTAGAAACCCAACAAATCTGTCTCTTTCTGCCGTGCTTTCATTTATTTATAATTTCCTTCCTTTTTCACTATCGCATTCGGCCACATGGTTTCCTGTCGGTGTTACGGTTAAACGAACACCACCGTTTCCTTAACTACTGCTGGCCTCCACTCTCTCCACATCGTTTGGGCTCCATCTCATTAATTTCTTCTCTGTTCCTTTAATAAAAGGCATTGCTCTGTCTCTGTCACTCTCATTTTCTGTCTGTCTTAAAGGGGTCCTATTATGCTTTTTCACTTTTTTAATTTTAGTCAGTGTGTAGTGTGTATGTTTGGGCATAAAAAAGATCTAGAAAGTTACAAATCTCAAAGTCCACTCCAAAGGGAGATATTTAGTTTTTAAAAAATCAATTTTCAAGAACTACAGCAAACGGCTCGTTTGGACTACAGCGTTTGGTTTCCGGGCTTTATGATATCACAAAGCGGCTCATTAGAATTTCATTACAAATAATTCCCACCTACAGAAATTTGAATGGTTGGGGGTTGGGGGGTGGGGAGGGGCGCGGTTGAGGTTAGAACGCTTGGTTGAGTGAGCGCATCAGACGAGACGACGAAGAAGAAGTGCTGCTGCAGAGTTAGTGCGTCAGACGAGACGTGGCAGTACTGAAACACCGCCTAAGCTGTTCGCCAATCACAACGCACTGGGACAGCTAACCAATCACAACACATTTTGTTTTTCGGAAGGCGGACCTTCATCAAAGCCGGAACTAATCGAGCCGTTTGTGCCTGCCTGGGGAGAAAGGTATTTTAATAATGTAAATTATGTGAAAAATAATGCGTTTTTCGAACCACCAAGCATGAGAGCATGTTCTAGTACACCCCCAAAACAAAATCAAGACTTTGTAAAAGAGCATAATAGGACCCCTTTAAGCATTTTGATTTCAACTGACCCGTGTAAACAAACTCTGCCCGTCTTGTGAGCTTTTTCTGTATCTGCTCCTCATCTTAACATTTCTCGGATAATGGAATACATCTAGAGCTTGTTCCACATCAGTGAGCGATGCATTTGCTGGAGTTTCTGGATCAAGCGGGTCTTATTTCCTGTTGTACAAGATGAATTCAACACCAAAACACCATGATGACCTTTGACCGTTACCTATAATTCCATATCACTGCCTTGTTAATGTGTGTGTGTTTTATTGATGACAACATTAATTTAACATAGCTGACAAAAGTAATGCACCAAATATATCTGAAATATTTACCACTATCTTCTGTTGCAATGGACAAATGCTTAACATCATTTACAGCATCGTGTGTTATATAATTTTTAAGATTGTAAATTAATATATTATTCTTGTTCTGAAGTAAAAAGCAGCATTTAGGATTTTTTTTCTTTGTGATTTAATAATTCATGCAGAGGGTAAAAGTATTTATCTTATCATCTTATCTTATCTTATCCTGTCCTGTCCTGTCCTGTCTTATTCAATCCAATCCCATGCCACCCACATGAGAACCAAGACTCAATATCCAGCACAAAGTACTTGGCCTCATCTCCAACTCCTTTTTGCAGTTTTAATAACATGTAAGAACCACAAGTATCGCAGCTTAAAATCATCGTCACACTTTGAGCTGGCAATCATAACCAAGTGAGCTACTTTGATGGTGTGCGATCCTTCTACATATAATTTTTTTGTTAACAACTGTTTATTGAATTTTCTTCTGGGAATAGTAATATAAAACAAACAGCAACTGTGCAAATTTAGAACCCATCCCAACCCTGGTAGACTTTAAAAAATATATATAATAATAATAAAAAATAAAATAATCATAAAATAAAAAAAATGTATATATAAAAAATAAATAAATAGTAATAATAAAAATAAATTAATTAATAATAATAGATAAATAAATAGCCTTCTACATATTCTTGAAGTAAGAACAAAGGACGTTCATGTGTGTTAAGGAAAATAATGAATGTCAAAGATGCCTGTAGGGTAGTTGCTCGCAAATGAGACATCTTTTAAGAATCAGACAATATCAACAGAGAGACTAATTTATTTTCAAAAAGTGACCCACTTGCATTTAATGATAACTGTGAAAAATAACAAAGGCCCGTCTGGTCTCTGCGGTCAACAGAGTGACTCTACGTTTCATTTCAAATAGTTTAAAGCTTAGTTGGCATTAATATTTGCTTGTCTATTCTTTTTTATTATCTTTATTTGATTATGGAATATATGGAGACACAAGACTCAGACTAATTCTGGGCTTCTGGATCAGCAGGGGAATGTGATTTTTTTAGTGAAGACTGATTCATCACTTCAGTGTGAAAGCCACAATGAATTAAATCGCAGCCACACAGTGCATAAAAAGATTTCAGTGGCTTTTTGCCATTCTTTATTGACAGAGACATTAGAGAAAAGACAGAAAAATAGATGGGAGAAAAAAGGGATGTGGCTGCATTCAAACCTGCATCGCCTGCAACTCACCACAGCTCTGCTTGTATATTGCATGGTTTTGTTTTGTTGTAGTTTAATGCATCTTATTCCTAAATTCTACCTAATTCTTTTGTCGGAAGAGTTTTTTTATATATATATATAATAGCCAGGTAATGTTTGTGATGGGTTACAGAGTTAGTATGTTTTTGGCCCTTTCTTGTCATCCGCATGAGCACCATGACTCAATTTGTCAGCGCTAGCCATTAGGCCATGTCTCCAACATCAAATTACTTCTTCACTGAACTTTTGAGTTTTCTTTTTTGTCTTTCGCTCCCTCATGTTAATATATGTGGAGGACTGTGGTTAAAAATGGAACAGCTCCATGGCCTCAGGCTCTCTCTTGCTGGCTGTTTGTGTGTGTGTATGTATTTTCACCTAATGAGATTTGCAGGCACACAGAGCCTCGGAATGGACTATTAGTGAAGACACATTGTGTTGTGTGTCGCCCCTTCAATCAAGCATTCCTTTACCCCCTTAAGACATACACACACATACACAACTCATAAACATGCTAATAGCTAATAAAACCCTCATGTTCATTAATGAAACTCTTTTAAAAAAGAAAGCAAGCAAAAAGACAGAAAAATGCTGAAGAAAGAGGAAAAGCACACATTTTCTGAGCAGACAGAGGCAGAATTTCACAAAAGCCTGGTGTGATGAAGTTGTAGAGGAAATAGCCTTCTACATATTCTTGAAGTAAGAACAAAGGACGTTCATGTGTGTTAAGGAAAATAATGAATGTCAAAGATGCCTGTAGGGTAGTTGCTCGCAAATGAGACATCTTTTAAGAATCAGACAATATCAACAGAGAGACTAATTTATTTTCAAAAAGTGACCCACTTGCATTTAATGATAACTGTGAAAAATAACAAAGGCCCGTCTGGTCTCTGCGGTCAACAGAGTGACTCTACGTTTCATTTCAAATAGTTTAAAGCTTAGTTGGCATTAATATTTGCTTGTCTATTCTTTTTTATTATCTTTATTTGATTATGGAATATATGGAGACACAAGACTCAGACTAATTCTGGGCATAAATAGTAATAATAAAAATAAATAAATTAATAATAATAGATAAATATAATTAATAATAATAGATAAATAAATAGCCTTCTACATATTCTTGAAGTAAGAACAAAGGACGTTCATGTGTGTTAAGGAAAATAATGAATGTCAAAGATGCCTGTAGGGTAGTTGCTCGCAAATGAGACATCTTTTAAGAATCAGAAAATATCAACAGAGAGACTAATTTATTTTCAAAAAGTGACCCACTTGCATTTAATGATAACTGTGAAAAATAACAAAGGCCCGTCTGGTCTCTGCGGTCAACAGAGTGACTCTACGTTTCATTTCAAATAGTTTAAAGCTTAGTTGGCATTAATATTTGCTTGTCTATTCTTTTTTATTATCTTTATTTGATTATGGAATATATGGAGACACAAGACTCAGACTAATTCTGGGCTTCTGGATCAGCAGGGGAATGTGATTTTTTTAGTGAAGACTGATTCATCACTTCAGTGTGAAAGCCACAATGAATTAAATCGCAGCCACACAGTGCATAAAAAGATTTCAGTGGCTTTTTGCCATTCTTTATTGACAGAGACATTAGAGAAAAGACAGAAAAATAGATGGGAGAAAAAAGGGATGTGGCTGCATTCAAACCTGCATCGCCTGCAACTCACCACAGCTCTGCTTGTATATTGCATGGTTTTGTTTTGTTGTAGTTTAATGCATCTTATTCCTAAATTCTACCTAATTCTTTTGTCGGAAGAGTTTTTTTATATATATATATAATAGCCAGGTAATGTTTGTGATGGGTTACAGAGTTAGTATGTTTTTGGCCCTTTCTTGTCATCCGCATGAGCACCATGACTCAATTTGTCAGCGCTAGCCATTAGGCCATGTCTCCAACATCAAATTACTTCTTCACTGAACTTTTGAGTTTTCTTTTTTGTCTTTCGCTCCCTCATGTTAATATATGTGGAGGACTGTGGTTAAAAATGGAACAGCTCCATGGCCTCAGGCTCTCTCTTGCTGGCTGTTTGTGTGTGTGTATGTATTTTCACCTAATGAGATTTGCAGGCACACAGAGCCTCGGAATGGACTATTAGTGAAGACACATTGTGTTGTGTGTCGCCCCTTCAATCAAGCATTCCTTTACCCCCTTAAGACATACACACACATACACAACTCATAAACATGCTAATAGCTAATAAAACCCTCATGTTCATTAATGAAACTCTTTTAAAAAAGAAAGCAAGCAAAAAGACAGAAAAATGCTGAAGAAAGAGGAAAAGCACACATTTTCTGAGCAGACAGAGGCAGAATTTCACAAAAGCCTGGTGTGATGAAGTTGTAGAGGATGCAAAAACTCATTTAGGTGCTCAAATAGCTACTATTAACGTTCTCTTCATTCATTCTCTAACCGGGAGATGAACAGGCAATGTGTTTGTGCTTCCTGGTGAAAGAAAATAGTGATTCGGTTGCGAAACTCGTGTTTCGTTTGAGTTTTAAAGCATCAAATCTGCAATGAAGAGATTTTGGAGATTGACTTCTGTGGATCTGAATTATATTTTGAAGCCAGATATTGACTCTGAGCCTCTGCGATATGAAATGTGTCAGTGCGCCAGGAGAGTGCCCAATTCCTGTGAGCATTTGAAAATTCCTGAGCAATTTCACTTCGTTTTATTTGTTAGAACTCATTTTCCAGCCGTTTGTGAAACTAGTTTATGAGAAGCATTGAACCGAATGCTTCTAATAAACTAGTTTCACAAGGATACTGAATTTTGAAAAGAGGTAACTTTACTTCAGTAACTGATGATTCAGCCCCTATTTGTAGGGTTTTTTGTCCGTCATCGTCCATCGCTGATTGACTGAGACAGGAAAGAGACAGGAAACACTCTTGCAAGACCTGATGCAACCAGCATCAAGCGCGCTGTCATTGTAGTGTATGTGTGTGTCAGAGCCCATAACTCAGTCTGACTCACACACACTCACTGAATGAGTGTCACATATGAATGCACGCATCAGTGCACAAATACACACAGGTTCCTCTCGCGCCTGCATCCAAAGTCCCTCAGCTCACAGACCCAGAAGAAAACAGGTAGGATACAAAATAAAATTTGACAGGCTTAAAAGAGAATATATAAACATGACAATGCTTTGTATAGCCCGCCACTCATGCTGCTGAATAAAACACACAAACACACACTGTCCTTTAGAAGAACCACAGAATGACTGACATTCTTGTCACAAACATGACGACTTTCCTTCATTTCACTCCATCTTGCATCACTCCTTCTATTTGCCCTCCTCTCGTCCCTCACATTTCATCTCTGTGTGAGACTGCCATTGATTTATTCACTAAAATGCACCATTATTAAATAAGCATAATTTGACGGCCTCGTTATTTGACAGCCATGTTTGTTCTTTCAGTAAAATTAGCATTTATTATCTGCTAATGCATTAACCCAGATGGGTGAATATCTCAAAAAACAAATGCAGTATAATGCAAATCACATCATCTTTATGTTAATGGACTCTTAACTTAATATACAAACTCGAAACCCCTCAATGCGCCAATAACTTGTCTTTTTAAAGCAGTCCATCCACTCAGTGGCCATCATGACTGTTTTCTAGTATAGCTTCTGTTTACTTGAATATGTAAATCTCCAAATCTGTATGTTATGCCAAAGAAATATGCCAAAATTGGTGTCATAATTATAAAGGGCAGGTCTTCACCAACCAGTAGTCCGGCTCAGCGGCTACCTAAATCAGCTTGGATTAACCTGTTCTAAAATGAGGCAGCTATCTAGCGGGCAGTATGCATTTATTCTGCACTGTTATTAAGTTGTTAATTAGTTTATATACATATGTTTTAGATTGACATCTTTTACTGTCCTGTGCAGGGGCATATCTTTGTTTTTCTTGAGACAACGTGTCAAGTTTAGCTTTAGTTTTATTAAGTCATCTCGCATTGGTCACATGGATATGCAGCGATTCCAGTTTATCACCATCCAGACCTGACCTCTATAAACACACCTCATCTTGTCTCGCTGATCAGCGCTCACTCTCACGTGTGACCCTGAAGCGTGACCCCCTCAAACAAAATATGCACACGTGTACAGGCTCAAACACACACACGCACACACTCTCTCTCTCTCTCCACACTCGGTGTTTGCGGGTTGTCTCACCGGTGTAATCATAGTTATTTTCACATGCATTAAGAGAGTCATTTTCTCTCACCACTGTTGAGTAAATTGCCGGTGTGCTACCTCACCGACCCCACGGCGGCTGAGCAGAGTGTGTGTGAACGTGTGTGTGAGCACATAACGTCGCAGACATCGCCGCAACAATTAGGCAGCTGATATTACATCGTCCTGTGATGCTTATGTGTACATAATTCTCACTGCCACAGAGAGCCAGACAGAAGGGGGAAAAGTGTTTCCCGGGGTGAAAGGAGGAATGTTTTGCAGGGAAAGAGAGGTATTGGTATTCCACATGCGCAGTCATCCTTCAGAACGAGGGAATAACCCTTTCATGTATTTTTCATGCTCGTTAACCACTCCCGTCGGGCTGCTGTTTGTTCTTTCTTCCTCTGTCTGCCTTATCTTTCCCTCACTCTTCAGCTTTCTACCTGCTCTGTCTTCAACAAACCCTCGGCTCCTTTTGCTCTCTTCCCAAATTATTGCCCTCAGCTCTAGAGATCCCCGCTCGAGTCGTGTGTTTGTCATTTGTGGGTTTGTGTCTGTGTATCTATCTCATCCTTCAAAGCAAAAAAACTAAGAAAGAGATGGGGTGGTCAGAAGAAAAAAAATTACAAAATGGACAAAGAGAGTCTGGAGTGACTGACAGGGAAGGAAACTGATGTTTTTCACACTTTCTGTTTTCCCCTCCATCAATGTTGTCATCTGCTAATGTTTGTGTATTTGTGTTTCAGGACAGAGTCTGTTGCTGAGAAGATGCTAACCAACTGGTTTGCTTTCCTGCTTCATAAGTTCTTGAAGGTAACTTGCTTCTTTGGCTTCCTGTAATAGTACTAGTCTCATCTAGACAGACTTTTGACGCTCAGCATGAAGTCTGGTTCACTCTGCAGCTTGTTCTGGCTCAGAGCCGCCCAATTAGACAGGGAGCGCCAGTCATGTCACAATCAACTACAGTTTGTATGTTTGTAGGAGCTCATTCAAATAATTGGAGTCTCTGCAAACAGTCGTATGAGAAATATTAAAGACATTAATGTGTGTAGACTTTATGGTCGGAATTTAGTGGTATATCATTCAGTTGTGCTCAAAGATTTCATGTTTACTTGCTGCTACTAAGTGTCTCAAGCTAAAATATATTTTTATATCTTGCATGAATGGGGTAAATCCAGTCAGTGAGTAGTTTGGTAGAAACATATGTTAGTAACCTGGGAATGTCTAAACACAAATTTGTTTCCCAGAAAGGCAATTGGAAATTGCATAAAGCTTACCAGTCAGTTTTTGAGAAAGTATGTGCAGAATATAATACATACTGCATACTAACTGTACACATTATGCAATACTAAATATTTTAAATGGTAGTTTACGTACCTTGTTGCCACGTGATCTTAATGGACTGGTCACATGACTTCATTATGTTCATATTTAACTCTCTTAATGACATCTTTGAAAATATGAAATAGAACATTTTGAAATAGAAATCCTGTAACACTGTAAATGTCTTTACTGTCATTTTTATCAATTTAATGTATCCTTACTGAATAGAAGTATTCATTTATTTCAAAAAATGAATGGTAGTACTATATACATACTATATACTGCAGAAATAGTATTATGCTAGTGTGATATTTCAAACAGACTTAGACCAGACAGAGTGTAAGTAGTGATACAGTAAAAAATAATAATAATGTGTGTTGGTGTCTGTGTCTACAGGAGTGTGCAGGTGAGCCTCTCTTCATGCTGTACTGTGCTATAAAACAGCAGATGGAAAAAGGCCCAATAGATGCCATCACCGGAGAGGCCAGATACTCCCTCAGTGAGGACAAACTCATCCGGCAACAGATTGACTACAAGACACTGGTCAGCATCACACACCTTCATAGCCACACTAATAAACAGAGTATCTGATAAACTCTCATGTATGTCAGTGCTGTGTGTTTGAAAGCAGACAGTCTGGCCGAGGGAGGGTAGTGTTCATTAGTCTCTCATACCCTGCTAAGGCTGAGATTGGGGTCCTGCAGAGGGTGTGAAATCAGATTTCTCGGGCCAGGAAATGGCCTTTTCCAGAGCCACGCTCCGCACCTACGGCTTCACCGACCACAGCTCAACATCTCATCATCCTCATTCCTCTTTTATCGCTCCAGATCTTAAACTGCGTCAACCCAGAGAATGAGAACAGCCCAGAGATCCCGGTCAAGGTTCTGAACTGTGACACCATCACGCAGGTCAAAGAAAAGATTCTGGATGCAGTGTATAAGAACATGCCATATTCTCAGAGACCCAAAGCTGTGGACATGGACCTGGGTGAGTTTAACATGTGCACACAAGTGTGATATTGCTTTCAAAATGTAAAGAGTTAGTAATGAGTAACTAAGATTTTAGACACAAAATTGTGTTACTTTGTCGATTTTTGTTTCTCCAAAAAAAAAAATCCAAATGAAGCCACAGCAGATTAAATCATTTTGAATGAATTGTTTGAACAGATTCTTTCAAAGAATGATCCAGTGATTCACCCATAAAAACAGTTTCATTCCTGAATGAATCAGTGTTCCTGAACAAATCATTTGAGTGAAAGATTCAATGACTGACAAAGATACTCACCTGTTTCATTCTTGATTGAATTGTTCCTTTTGAACAAATCAGTTAACTGAATGATTCAATTGCTCACTCATAAAAAACACTTGTTTAATTCCTGAATTTATCAGTGATTTTGAATGAACTGAGTGTTTGATTCATTGACTCACAGTATAAAGACAACCACTTGTTTACTTCCTTAATGAATCAGTGTTTTAAAGGACTCAGTTGGCTGAATGATTAATTTGCTCACTCAGAAAGAGTGACTTGTTTAATTTCTGAATGAATCTGTGTTTTTGAACAAAATTGTTTGAATGAATGATTCAATGATGCACTTATAAGAAATATCACGTCACCACTTACTGCCGTAACAATGTAACCTGCAGAAAGAGTCACAGAAAAGCTTTTTTATCGATATATTTCAAAATATAATGACCTCACAATTTTTTAAGAAATGTAAACTTCTTTTGATTTGATTTCATGTTGTCTGTAATGCATAAACTGTGATAGTAAAGTACACTTTTTGCACGCACACAAGCAGGTGTGCGTGTGTTGGGGGTAGGTTTCTGCAGGCATGTGACCCAGGTAAAAGCTGACAGACGGCGCTGACAGACTGACTCCACATTTCATTTCTGGCACACAAATGCCCATCACACACACACCACACAAAAGCCCCCTGTCAGCGGTGCAAATCATCCTTCCAGCACCTTGGCCAGAGCAATCTCCTCCATGATGATGTTCTCTCTCTGTAGCTGCAGAACTGGCATTGCTTTTGTGTGTGTGTGTGTGTGTGTGTGTGTGTGCGTGTTGGGGGTAGGTTTCTGCAGGCATCTGTGCATTTGGCAACCACGTAAACTAATAAACCCCATTCAACAGAGGAGAAAATCAATGATCACTCTCACTCTGAGCCTGTCTATATCTTATCAGCTCTCTCTTTAGCATTTAATTATACCCTACCGCGAGTGCACACGCGCACACACACAGACACACACACACATTTCTAACCCATGTGAAAAGACACATTCAGAGCTTTAGATCAAATCAATCTGCTTTGAGCTGGGGGAGGTTCACTGTGTCTGTTTTAATGACAAATGTTTGATTTTTCAGAGTGGCGTCAGGGACGACTTGCCCGAGTGGTCCTGCAGGATGAAGACATCACCACTAAGATTGAAAATGATTGGAAGAGGCTCAACACTCTCATGCACTATCAGGTACAAAAGAGGACACACACGCTCACACAATCTCATGGTGCCCTCTTCTGTCTAAATGAGTAAACATTAAAGGGGACGTATCATGGATTTTCTTTGCTCTATTGATAGAAAAAAAGAATCTGATGTACTATGTAGACATCTCCCCAGTGCAAAAATAGCAAAAATTCATGTTTTCATCAGTATGTTTCCTAGTTAACATATATAAACTTCTTTAAAGCGATATAATAGAATTACAAAATTCTAATGCTAAAAAAACTGCAGATTATAGCACTTTGAAGACATCAGGAATCATTAAAAGCAAGAAGGACAACATGCTACAAAAAGAAATCCTCCATCTCCACCTATCCATTTAATTCCTAAGACATGAAACAACAATTAAGCTTAATACAACCAACAACAAAAAAAACATTTCCTTTATCTCGCAGTGCTCCAAAATGTCTCACTGTGAGTGTGTGAGTGACAGCAGATCTCTCTCTGAATCACACTACACAGGACAATATAATATAGGACAATTGCATTCAAAATTTTAAGTTTGTAGCTGGAAAAGTGTCTGTGTGTGTGTGAGAGAGAATTTGTCCTTTAACTTCAGTGGATTAATTACAGCCTTTACCTTTTCTTAACTTCAGACACCACAGAGACAGCACACGTCAGAGCAGCTACCTGATAACAGCACTTATTGAGAGAGAGAGAGAGAGTATGTGCACATTTTGCCTCTTTTTGTGTCCAGAGGAGATGCCACAGGACATGCTCACACATATTTTTTATAATTACTACTGAAAGAGCTCATCATATGTCATAATGTGTGATCTGAGGATGAGACAGACGTGAAGAGAGAAAGCAGAAAGAAAAGGAAATGTAATTTCTAGAGTGTTGAGCACTACCTTTACCTATATATAATATTGGTATGGTTTTATTGTTATATTGCTTGAAACTATAAAGGTTACTTTTGTATTCATTAAACCCTACATACATAAATATAAGTTGTTTCTCTGAGACAGTAATGAGATGGATAACAAATGGGGACTTTTAAAGTCTCTGTGAAAGAGCAACATCTAAGAGATGAGATTTCATATTCAATCATATTCAAAGTAAATCACAAGGTATTTTGCTTAGGGAGCTGTATACTCACTATTTGCTATATAAACGCTTACTGTTTCCACAGAGACTGCGGAAATAGAGAGTTTAGAGAAAGGATAGAGAAAACAGAAGTCAGGGAGCTGTAGAGAACACTGCATTAAAATACATGACTCCTGAGCCCTCCACACAATCACCCTCACCTCTCCTGAAATACTACGGATATGCTAATCTCAGCCGTTTGCCGAGTTCCTCAATAGAGTAAGGGCATATTTTAAGAGAGCAGACAGTATAATCAGCAGCTGTGTCTCGCTGACATTTCATGCTGTGGCTTCATAAACCTGTGGTCACCATGTTCTTCGCTGATTGCTCATTTGATTGCACAGGGCTGATTAGAGCACTAGCCTAAAAAGTTTTCATCAGTTTGAACGCTAGCGTGGTCGTTTTTCTCTAGGCTCTGCTGCTTCTCCCACTCGTTCGCTCTCTTTCTTCTTTCTCACTCATCCAGTCTTACTTAAAATCAGTGAGTCTCTTGACCTTGCGTAGGCTGAATGACATTAGAGGACTGGCAGCCTGTCCCTGAGGGACCACCCTACTCCTCAAATTTCCAATTTAAATAGTTGGAGCTGCATGAGAGACACTGGCATTAACAATTCAAATAAACAGCTCTCTGTCAATGTGTGCATTATTATCCCTCACAGGGAATGTAACAGCAGTATTTATATAGCACAGTACTTTCAACAAGGCGCTTTGACTAGGAGTCTGCAAAACTATGTATTTCCAAACTCCACTAGTTACCTAAACCTAAACTAGATTGGCAGTCTTAACTGGTTTAAGGTGGAGTTTAGCTGGTCTGCCTAAACCTGACCAGCTGACAAGTGCCCAAAACCTTTCTAAAACCATCAAAACAGACAAGGTTAGATTCACCAGCAGTCCTGTTTAAGCCCAAAGTATACTCCGGCCATCTGTGTCCCTTGACGGTCCGCACACTGTCCTCATGACACAATTTTTGTCATCAGGGGTGTCCACATGCAGCCCAATTTTTGTGACCGTGCGGATGGTTTGCGTACATCTGCGCAGGTGTAAGGTAAATGTTGAGACTGAACGAGTCAAGTCGGTGGTACTGCGCATGCTCATCCGTGCTTGAGTATACTTTGAAAGCTATGTAACTTGCACTAGATGGAATGGAACACGGAAAGTTAAGTATACCAAGGCCTTCAGACTGATGTAAGTTGTTTTCAGCAGGGTTCTTTTAGACCAACTACTCTTACATAGTTAAATAGTAAACAGAAGCAACATTTTTTTTTTTTTTTTTTAAGTCTCTGAAGTTCACCAAGACTGCATTTATTAATTGAGATACAGTAAAACGGTAATAATTTAACATTTAAAATGATTGTTTTTATTCTAATATATTTTGAAATATTACAATAAGTTATTCCTGTGATGGCAGAGAGATGCATTTTCAGTAGCCATTACTCTAGTCTTCAGTGTCACATGATCTTTCAGAAATCATTCTTATATGCAGATTTGGTGCTCAAGAAATATTGCTTATTATTATTAATGCTAAAAACAGTGCTGCTTAATATTTTTGTGGAAACCATGATACATTTTTTATTCAGGATTGTTTTTGATGAAATAGAATGTTCAAAAGAACAGCATATATTTGAAACAAATCTTTTGATAGTGATCAAGAAATATTTATATTATTATAATATAATTTTAAAAGTTGTGCTGCTTAATATGTTTGTTTTTCAGGATTCTTTGATGAATAGTTCAAAAGAACGGCATTTATTTGAAATAGAAACCTTTTGTAACGTTAGAAATGTCTTTACTGTCACTTTTAATCAATTGAATGCATCCTTGGTTAATATACGTGTTTATTTTTTAAGAAAAAAAATCAGTCGAGTGAATAATTCATTGATTAGATAACATGCGAGTCTTTCACAGTGCACTTTCACAGAAACAGCTGTGTGTGTGTGTGTATTAAGCACAAGCCCTTGATGCTCATAAGTTAGCTTTGTTGGCTCCAAAAGAAAATAGAGACATCTCTGTTGTATATCATTGTGTAAGACGCTTGGCATAGATCACTGCCGTGGGTTAAGCTGTCTTTTCAAGTGAAGACAAAGCTCAAGGACTTGCAGTCTGACATACAAGCCTGTTTGTCAACTGCTCATCACTTATACTAGACATGCAATGTAGATGTACGTTATAGTGTATATTTGACCAGTTAGAGTTGAATTCCCTTCGATTTTCCTTTTCAGGCATCTTATTTTACATCTCAATGCATTTACCATCTGTATTATGATGCTTTCATCCATTTCAGCTATTAAATGCCCATCATTCTTCTGTGTTTATCATGTGGCAAAGGCGTTTCACGCTTTTTATGCTAGCGTGACCAAGCCTGCCGTATTTCAAAGAAGAGGCAGAATGGTGGACACATCACCTCATCCTTCCCCACCGCCTGGATGCGGCGTCTGAGTTAAAGGCACGTTAGCTTGCGGATTGCCATCAGATAGAGCACAGACAGGAGATCAGAGATACATGGGGAAAAGGGGTCAGTTGTCTGCTTGATGCAAACGTTATCATGAGGAAAGCTAACCCCTTATCACTCTCACACCCACTGGCGGCCCGCCTGCCTGGCTGAGGATTATCCCTCAAGGGCGAATGCATCTCCCCTCCATCATTTAGGCTCCATACGGCTGCCTCCTCCACCTTAGAGACCCGCTGTGAGAAAAGAAGAGTAGAGTGTACATGGGGCGGCACGGGAGGCTACTGTAGGTGCCAAAAATAAAAGTTACAAACCCAATTACTCAAAATAATGTTCTTTTTTTTCTCCAATCACTAATATTTGATGCTTACCAGTTCTACAACCCATGGAGGGAGAAAGTGAGCTATAAAAAAGACGTTTGTGAGTGTCATCGCACTTGGCCAACTCTCTGAGGTGATTCGTTCACAGTCCTGGACTCTTTCAAGTGTCTCTCCAGTCAGTCTACTAGGCTACTCTGCAGTGAGGGTCGGCCGAGGAGAAACCTGCACTAATGGGGCTGGTGCTTATGGGGGCATACAGGGGCTAAAGTAACACCATCATCGGCTGCGAGAGTGTAGGGAGGTGAGTGAAGACTACCCTCAGCCTTCACAGGAGCTCAGGAGGTGTTTATTGTCTCCATTATGTTGGACAGAGAGGTTTTCTGAAATGAAATGGACTCAAAATGTGATGATTTATGTTGACAGGAGATCGTAAGACTCTGGCACTTGACCTAGTTCACTAGTATCTGAGAGACCTTTGGCTTATAGATGAGGTTTTTGACCTATATTCAGTAGAAAATGAATAAAATCATTATAATCATATATGATTAGTAGGTGGTGTCACCTGATGGTTATATATGGAAATTTATAGATGGATGGATGGGTGGATAGATTTTTTTATACATGTGCACTGCCAAAAATAAGATAAAAAAATATATAAATATTCATACATTTATTCAGCAAGGATGCATTAAAATTTATCAAAAGTAAGAGTAAAAACTTTAGCATTGTAACAGCATATTAGAATGATTTCTACAGGATTGTGTGACTCTAAAGACTGGAGTAATCCAAGCTTCGATATCAATAGTACTAATTATTAGATCTCTATAACATTAGAAAGATCAGGCCCTTTCTTTCAGAACATGCAACACAACTCCTTGTTCAAGCTCTTGTTCTATCCAGGCTGGACTATTGCAATGCTCTCTTGGCAGGTCTTCCAGCCACTTCTATCAAACCTCTACAATTAATCCAAAATGCCGCTGCAAGATTAATCTTTAATGAGCCAAAAAGAATGCATGTCACACCTCTGTTCATCAATTTGCTCTGGCTACCAGTAGCTGCTCGCATTAAATTCAAGGCATTAATGTTTGCCTACAAAACCACCACTGGCTCTGCACCCATTTACCTAAATTCATTACTTCAGAGTTATGTGCCCTCTAGAAGCTTGTGTTCTGAAAGTGAACGGCATATTATTGTGCCATCTCAAAGAGGCACAAAATCACTTTCACTGACTTTTTCATCAACTGTTCCCTCCTGGTGGAATGACCTGCCCAACTCAATCCGAGCAGCTGAGTCCTTAGCCATCTTCAAGAAACGACTAAAAACCTCATCTGTTCCACCTTTATTTGACCCTCTAACTCTAGCACATTCTATTCTATTTTAATTCTACTTCATCTATATTTATCTTCTATTTTTCTATTTCTATTTTTTCTATTCTATCTACTTGTTTTTCTTTGTGTGTGTGGGTGTGTGTGTATAATATATATATATATATATATATATACACACTGTATATACACCTTGCTATGTTTACTGCGTTAGGCTAACCGAGACTTGTCATTTGCACTTATATATTGTTGCTCTTTTGTTAGTTTTGACTGCTTTTATTGTCCTCATTTGTAAGTCGCTTTGGATAAAAGCGTCTGCTAAATGACTAAATGTAATGTAAATGTAAATATAACACATTTATAAAATTAGTTACAGCTAAACATAGAGATCAAGATAAGCACCTCAAAACCAGATAGTATGAGAATCGGCCAGGATTTTGCCAGCTTGCTTTCAAGAAGTTGCTTTCTTGTGCTGAATCGAGGTTGAGTCAGTTGTCTTTGTGAGAGTAGACCTCATTTCCTCTGCAGCCCTTGACAGTTCAGATTAATACAGAAGATCAGACGGAGCGTGAGCACTCACAGAGCAGACAGAGAAAAATGGAGAGTTTCACCCCAATGTATAAAAGTCCTGGACTCCATAACCTCATCTTTTCTCATCCCTTTCTACTTTCTCATCCTCTAAATGACTAAATCACTACATTCCCTCACCTGTCAAACTCTTCCTGTTGGCCTGCCTTTGTATTTGTATTTTTATATTACCCTCCATTCTAAATCTTAGCTACTCTCTATTCTCTGTCTGTGTACATGAATACAGCTGGAGCCATGTTGATTATGGTATGGATTATTTATTTATTTATATTGCTATGGATTATTAAAAGCTTATAGTACAGGTTATTTTTTTATATTACTGATTCTTATTCTCTTATTTTTAAAAAGCTTATGGTGCAAGTTAATCTTTTTATTATTGTTTTTATATTTCCTTTTATTATTATTACAAATTATTTTAATTTATAGTTATTATTTTTAACATATTTATATTATTATTACCAATGTGGCTCTCTGTGGTGAAAAGGTGCAAAATTTAGCAAGATTTTTTTCCTCTAATTTTAATAGTCTCGGTTATGGGATGGATTAGCACTGTAGTTGCTTAGCAACAGGGATATAAAAAATATGCAAGCTCAGCGCTGTTGGTCAGTTTAAGTGACCTTGACCTTGCATTCATGATGTCCAAACCTTGGTGATACATGTGCATTTAATTTCCATTTTCCTTTCTCTTCTTCTTGGACCGCTCATATTGCAGCTTACAGCTATATTTTATACTCATTCAGCTCAGTACCTATCTTTCTGAAGGGTACAAGGCACAACAGGCAGTGAACGATGCCATTACTTTTCAATGAGCCTCCCTCTCTCTTTTACTCCATCCGTCATCTTTGAGTGCTGTAGAGTGAAGAGCGTCCCAGTGAAGGAGATCTCATGTGCTGTCATATGTAAATATCGGTTTCTTGTCTAATCACAATCCTTTTTCTGTGCAAAACACGAGAGGCAAAACTCTCTCGCTTTTACCCGAGAAAAGGCTTTAATGCACATTTGATCCAAGAACACATGCAGCGTGAACACCCCTTATACATTTATAACTAGAACAGATCTTTTTGAAGCACTTTAACGTCGCTTTATTTCAGCACTGGGGAGAAACTTAACAATTTCACACGTTTTTGTAAAGCAATAGATGTGTACTGAGAATCTGTTCGGCAAATATATATTTAATTCCAAAGTAATAACTCCTCAAAAGCAGAATAAACCGGCATTAGTTTTGCTCCACTATCTTGAACGTTTCTTGATAATAAGAGGCTGTGAAACCAAAAACTGTGAAATAAGTATTACAGGGAAAGGAAAGAAGCTTGACTTGAACGTTGTATTTCTTGTACAGGTATCAGACCGCTGTGTGGTTGCTTTGGTGCCCAAGCAGACGTCCTCCTACAACATTCCACCCACAACTAGCATCTCTCGGACTTCTATCAGTAGATACGGTGAGTATATTTGTCAGATGATAATGATGGTGGCTGTTTAGCTAATTAGAAGTTTGAAGTTTTTTCATTGTTTCACAATACAAAGGTCTTTGAGGTAAAACACAGCTGAAGATTTGCTTTAAATTATGATTGTGTGCACAAGCCACGTGCTGCAGTTTTGCTTTACATCCCATTGGATGCCAAAGGGAGCCTTCTGGGTGCCAGAGAATGAGAGCGAGAGACCATGTCAGGAAGGGTAAGCGGAAGAGAGAGAGGTGTTAGCAGTTAGTGTGAAGCACAGTAATGCTGATTTCTCTGCTGAGTTTGGATGCCACCCGTAATGGACACATTAGCTCCTTCCCCATAGCGTTGCTTTGAGGGAGTGGCACAGGGCTCCCCATCTGGCCCATTCTCATTTTCCATCACACTGAGCTGCAGGCCACTCTCTGATTGCTAATTATGCACCACCGATGATACTTCACATGGGCGAAAAAACTCGAATGACACGCAGCCAAATACCAGGGCCAGTGATGAAATGGAGCCCCTTGTGCGTTGTCACCTAGCAACCCTGCCAAACTACACGCACAAACATCTCACCTGGCTTCAATTCACTAGATCCACATGAAATGCAGCCCGTATCGGCATATTACCTGATTCTGTTAATCAAAGCTTGAGGATGTGTCTCACGTATATGCGGTATAATGAAAGAGTGTAATTATCGTCTCTTATCGCCTGTAAACATAATGACATTTAAAGTTCAGGGAACACTTCAAATAGCCAAAGACGCAACAAGCAACCTGAGAAATACTCTATAAAGCTATCTTTATTTCTCAGCTGTGCTCTCGTTAACCAACAAACCTCAATATTTTTCAAATCATCTCAATCAAAAGAGTTTTTAGGGTCATATTTGAGACTTTGATCTATTTATTGCAAAAGGCTTGTTGTATATTTTAGGGAACTCATCAAATAGGAATGAGATGGCACAACACAACACTGTTTTTGGCTGTTTTTACAACCTGCTCTTGTGTGTGGTGCATAAAAAGCAGCTATCTCATCTGGCAGAGCCCCGGTGCCCATCAATCACACCTTGGCACAGCGGGCACAGCTGTGCACAGGCACCTGCTGATTGATTCATATCAATTTAATGCTCAACACTTAGCAGCTCGGCTCAATTTAGCATGCCAGCACCCCTGGCCCAAAATAACACATTGCTCACAAACCTCTGACTGGCTGAACAGGGCAACATACACATTGAAAACGCACAGCGTCGATGTACACACCAGATTATGCTGATATGTGATCAAGCGCTCTTATTAACACCCTATCACACATTAAGGGTGTACTCACACTAGGCACGGTTGCCTTGAACCAAGTCCGAGCGCGATTATCCCCACTCCCCCGCTGGCCTACACTTGCACTAAACTTTCCGGGCCGGAGCATGCTTACGTCATGTGTGAGATAACGGAGAAACCCACTTTCGCTAATATTCTGCCTAATAAATTTGTAATTTATGTCGTGTCTTGATTTTCACTTGTAAGTATCAAAAAATTATTATGGAGGCAGCTGACGTTAATGAAAGAATTTGCAGCTTTAAATCGCAGACTAATTCCAGTTCATCAATAAGGTGAGAACCAGACCCATTATAAACGAAAATATACTTGATTAAATTAATTGAAAAGTGTAGTGTAGTAGTAGAAATAGTATATGTTTGCGGTCGTAATGATGACAGTAGCGCACACAAAATAGTATCTGTGCCGTGCTCCGGCACTGTTACACTCACACTGCATGCGTACCGCGCCCAAGCCCAACCGAACCTCATTTGTTTGTGAATTAGACTACACTGGATGTGCTGGATGATTTTTGCATGCGGCCAGCAAATCATCATCACATTCAATTCAGAGTGCAAATTCTCAAAACATATTTTTGCCGTGACTTTGTATATTCAACAAAAGTGGTGTTAAGGGCAAGTTAGTCCAATTTTCTGTAGTGTATACAAACATATATACACTCTAGCAGTAATCCCTGAATGCCAATACTGTGGCAACGGCCAAAAGGGCTGTAAGTTGGCAGTAGCTTAAGGTGGATTGAGACTGCAATCCACTTCTTGCTGTACCCCCTTCTGCTAACACCACCATTTCTCTTGGGGTTCTCCCTTGTGATGCTGATCTGCTCAAAATTCCACTTCTGTCTTGAAATAGCCAGGGCTATTTGCCTTGCTTTGCTGTTTCACATGCCCTTTGAAGCCAGGTGATGAGGAGAGAAACAGAGAGCAAGAATTTGAAAGGACGTGAAAGAATATATCGCACCATTGTGAGAAGCCAGTCCGACCTCCCAAGAGAGCACTCAACCACTGCGAAAAAAAAGCCACACATCTAATTGGAGAAGTGAGCAAGAGACTGATTACTTAACACGCGAAGATAGAGGGGGAAAAGGAGATGAGATGGATGAGCGGGGAGCTTAACTCGATAGAAATCTTTAGATGCATTGATTAGGTCCTTCGATGCAGACGTTTAAAGCATGTCTGCAGCACAATGAATCAGGACGAGCCAATTATGAAGCCTTTGAAGAAGAGGCCAGAGAGCGTCAACTCATCTCGCTCAGTTTCGAACAATACTCTCTCTACAGAGAGAGAGAGAGAGAGAGGAGGAAATAGATATAGAGGGTTAGACAAGAGTAAATTAAATGTGAGAGGGCCATGCTCTTTCTGTTCATCCCAAAGAATGACAACACGGAAGAATGGAGGTGTAAGAATATCATAATCCTCTTTCTTTATCTCTCTCTGTTCCCACAGACTCGACATTCCGGTACACAGGCAGTCCGGACAGCCTGCGCTCCCGTGCTCCTATGATCACCCCGGACCTGGAGAGTGGAGTCAAAGTCTGGCACTTGGTAAAGAACCATGAGCACGGAGACCAAAAGGAGGGTGACCGCGGCAGCAAGATGGTGTCTGAGATCTACCTCACGCGCCTGCTAGCTACTAAGGTACCACCTCTACTTTTAGTGGTTAATTGTAAAAAAAAATTGTGTTGCCATTTTATACACGCACACACACACACACACACAAACATATATATTAATATATATTTATTAAAGTTTGTAGACTGATTTCCCTAAAAACTGCCGCTTTTAAAACATTATTCTGTTTGCGCAGCCTGACCAGCCCTACTGTAGCACAACCAATAGTGTGAGTTTGAGGTGGGGTTTTCTCTTTATCTGACCAATGGCAAACACTCCCCTTGATTGCTGGGAAAACTTGTCACTAGAAACACAGAAATTAGACACTTCACCTTTAAAATAATCTCTGCCCTTAAGATATAATTGTGTTGCCATTTTATACACGCACACACACACACACACAAACATATATATTAATATATATTTATTAAAGTTTGTAGACTGATTTCCCTAAAAACTGCCGCTTTTAAAACATTATTCTGTTTGCGCAGCCTGACCAGCCCTACTGTAGCACAACCAATAGTGTGAGTTTGAGGTGGGGTTTTCTCTTTATCTGACCAATGGCAAACACTCCCCTTGATTGCTGGGAAAACTTGTCACTAGAAACACAGAAATTAGACACTTCACCTTTAAAATAATCTCTGCCCTTAAGATATATTTGTTTCTTAAAGAAACCATATTATGGAAAACAGGATTTTCATTGATATTTTACGAGTCTTATCTACTTGACTGACACGCTAATGTTCACAATGAAAATGGTCATGGAGAACTAAAATCTTGACTGACATTATGGGTGGACTTCAAGTGCAAAACAAATGAAATGCTACAGAAGTGTGTAGTTTGGTTCCTTTGTATTTGTTTTTAATGTCTTGTTTGTTTAACAGTCTGTCTTTCTTTTGTCAATTAGGGGACGCTACAGAAATTTGTGGATGACCTGTTCGAGACTCTTTTCAGTACGGTGCACAGAGGCAGCGCGCTTCCATTAGCTATTAAATACATGTTTGACTTCCTGGATGAACAAGCGGACAAGCACAGCATCCATGACACTGACGTCCGTCACACCTGGAAAAGCAACTGGTGAGAAGACACATTCATACGCACTACCTAACCTCAAGAACGAAAATGACTTTGTTTGTGTTTTTACCCGGTATCTGCAATACAAACCAATGCAACCATTCTTTTTCTGTGTTTGTGTGTCTATCAATCCCCCGCAGCCTTCCTCTGCGTTTCTGGGTGAATGTGATCAAGAATCCCCAGTTTGTTTTTGACATCCACAAGAGCAGCATCACGGATGCGTGTCTGTCTGTGGTAGCTCAAACCTTCATGGACTCGTGTTCCACATCTGAACACAGATTGGGCAAAGACTCGCCCTCTAATAAGCTGCTTTATGCTAAAGATATCCCCAACTACAAGAACTGGGTAGAAAGGTAAAAAATGTAATTGTATTAACAATATTTTAATTTCTTATCTCTGTTTTTGTAGTATTTTGTAGTATTATAACAAACTAAACCTCATAGTTCTCTTTTCCTTCATACAATGTTAATAATTCAGTAATACAAACAAGCTCTCACACAAAGTTGATTTTGGGTATTGACTATCGCCCCCTGGCTGTCTTCACAGGTACTATGCTGACATCAGCAGGCTTCCAGCCATCTCTGATCAGGACATGAATGCGTATTTGGCGGAACAGGCACGACTGCACTCCAATGAGTTTAACATGCTCAGTGCCCTCAACGAGATTTACTCCTACATTAGCAAGTACAGCGAAGAGGTGAGGCGAAATATCAAAACAAGCTGTCAACCCTAATTTTCAAAACATCCTTATTGATTTCTTGCATTATATTAATGCAGACTGACTTCCTGACTCTGCTCTGTATTGTAATTGACCAGCTCCACTGTCTAAAATGCCTGAATATAGCCACAAAAAGTCAATTATAAAACATTTATTTTGTTTATGGATTGATGGTTCTAGGCTAAGAGTAAAGAGTCTGTCTACATTGGATGCATGTCATATACACTGGAACTTCAGATCATTACATCAAAGCCAGACAATGTTTCTTGTATCTAGAGTACTATATTGTTTTACTGAAGTTTAGCTGACAGATGATTGGTTAGTAAACCACAATTTAGTTGCCAAAAGATAATCAGTTGATGTCTGTACTTATATATATATATATATATATATATATATGGTACTTGTGTAGGTCCTCAATCATAAACACTTTGTCCAAAATCAATACAGCCATATTTGTGGAATAACTAGCACTTTGAAACAAGATGTACTCATGAAATAGAGTTTCATAGAATGATGTCATCTTTAACCAGCCTCTGAAGCCAGCAGCAGCAAGCTACAGAGTCACACACACACGTACACACAGTGTGGGGACAGACAGACAGCGAGAATGAATAGGCTTCTGATGAGGAGGATTACACACAGCTAGATCACTGACAGCCACTCCGACACAAAGAGCGCTAGAGTAGGGCCCACGATGGAGATGTTCCAACCATAATGGCAGCTCCACTCAGGGGACCCATTAGTCTGACCTTTACTTTACACAGCATTTAGGGCAGCGCGGAGAGCCCGGGGACACAGCTCCGCCTGCAGCCTTTCCTCTCGCTCTCATGTAAATATCGTTTCTTTGGTTGCTGGTCTGTTTTCTCTTGTCCTCACATTCCCGCGAACTCTCAATCCCTCTTTTTTTTGTGTGTCCTTTTCATTCTTTTATACACAGGGTCTGTCTTTCTACAAATAGAACAGTGATTACCAATGCAGGAGTATGTTTATACCAGGGGTACTTCAGATTCCAGTGGGTACTTAAGAAGATTTTGAGTTTGCTTTGTAGATTAAATCAGTAAATTTACATTTAATAATTGTTACAAATTTTAGAGGTGTCACAATTGACATTCTTTTTATTTATTTATTATATAAATAAAAAATACACTAAGTACTATAATATACACTAAATACTATAAAATAGTACATATAAAATTATTATAATTTGTGTGGATGACAATAATGGTGTGAATATACAGCTACTTATATAAATAAATGAATAGTAAATATAAATAATATACTATAAATAAATATAATACATGTACATAAAATGTTGATTTAAGTTGAAAATTATGTTTTATCTTTCATGTAGATATTAATGTATGTATATTATTATTAATCTACAGTTCAAGTATATACAGTGGGTACGGAAAGTATTCAGACCCCCTTAAATTAATACTGCAGTCATCAGGATGCCAACAATTAACTTTTATAAATGTATGAAGATAAAAATACTATATTTGATATCCAATATAATAGTAGTTAAAATGAAAAGGAAAGGAAAGCATGTCTGGTTTGCTGACAATGAATTGAGCCTTGTGGGAGACAAACAATGTTTGGAAAGCACTAGTGTAGACCATCGAGCCACCTGCTTGTGTTTATTTTCCCTGTCGAACTCCAAAAAAGAAAATGCAAGCGCAATGCTAAGAGAACATTGTTTTGTTCACCCAGCCAAATGTGTGTGGCGGGACACTCCGAACCTGCATGTAGTAATTCAGATTCATTGTACATTGCGAATAGGACAACTGAAAATAATTACCTCTGTCAGCGCTCTGGAGCACTTAACCTGATGAGAGAGGGAGGGAGAGAGAGCGCTAGATAGAGAGAGAGAATATGCACTCCTCTTAAAATGAAGGCGACTGAATCAGACACAATGATGTGGAGAGTGCTCCTGCAGTTGTGCTGAAATGCATGAAAAATTCAGTGCACGCGCTCCTCCTCAAAAACATGCTCACGCTGTGAACCTCTAACGCAAGCTCGCAGCGGCTGCAGGAGTGATGACCTGCCCCATAGCCACAGCCACGGGGACGAACCGAGCAGTTGTGGGCCCAACTTGGCTCTGATGGCAGGCATACTGGGAATACAGGGATGCTGACTGAAAATGAAACAGACATCTAGTGCTTCACGATCCAGTTGATGGCTTCCAAAATAGACTTTTACATGTGAATGCTTCTGAGTTTGATGGTAAAGGGACACTAATGTAATTCCTTATTTTTGGTGAGATGAAATTTAAAGCCGAGCAAGGGTGGGCTGAACTTGGTTTGGATGTGTGGGGTGGTATTGCATATATTAAAGATCCTAAAGCAGATTTTTTTAAGATTAAGATATTGTGCCTTTGAGCAAGGCATTTAAAGGGCCAGTTCACCTAAAAATCATTAATCACCCTCATGCCATTCCAAACCTGTATGACTGTATGAATCTGTGGAACACAAAAGATATTTTGAAGAATGTTCATGCTGCTCCTTTAAATAAACATACAGTACTTCTGTATATTCAAACTAGGTGTGACACTATTAGTTATGATACACACAAGAACATGTGGTGGAAATAGCCATGATTTACTGTGGTTTCCTTGGAAGGGGAGTCAGAGGACATTATATAATACATTTTTTGTGAATTTGTGATTTATTTTAGTTGGAATATGCATAGATGGCATCCAAAAGAGCTTAACTACATATTGTTAAATTGCATTTTATAAGATTACAGCAAATTACAACTAAGATATTGGATTGTTTCTCACATAGTTACACATATTTGCATTGTATAGACCATTTTATGTGCTTTTTTGTTATTATTGTTAACTCAGACTATTAAAAATAATTTTTGTTAATTGAAATAAAGCTGAAATTAAATTAAATTTAAATTAAATAAATAGTTACATTTTCAGTCGAATAACTCAAATAAAAGTTGGAAATAAAAATAAAATAAAAACGTGAAATAAAAGCTAAACCTGAAATAAAACTAAAACAGTAAAACAGTTTAGTAAAACTAAAAAGTAATATAAAAAAATACAAGAAAATAAAAACAAATAAATTAAACTAAAATTAAAATAATCTGAAAATCTAAAAATCTAAAAATAAAAGCTAATTCAAAATAAAAATTACAATAGTATATCAATAATACTTTGTTATGCTTTTGGTGTATGCTAACATAAGAACAGAGTGAACATTCTGCAAAATATTTCTGGAGACATTTGGATAATCCGAATTTTAACTTTAGGTTTCGCCATAGCAGTACTTGTATAGTTTGGATAAACATGTCAGTTAAGTGACATAGTATTCATAAAGTTAGAAGCAATGGATCGCTGAGAGTTTGTGAGTGATGAACCACATTCAGTCAATCATTCTTTCACACTTACAAGAGGAGATTTCCACATACACCCACCCTCCAGTGCTCTCACGTCCATCGTTTTAGGCTTTGAAAGCTATCATTAATAAAGGCCCCATTTTGGCTCGCTAGATGTGCCCGTATCTATCTAGTTTCCCATTATTTTCACTGTTTGATGTGCAAATGAATGGCAGACAGAAGCCACGATGCCACTTCCTGCCGTGTTCCTCTGACACCACAGTCAGAGTTTATGACATGAGCACAGACAGGGGTCGATCCCCTCTGCCTGCCCCCTCTCAACGTGACTCAACATTTTTGACTGCTCTGTTTTAAAAAATAAAGAAATAAAAAGATGGAAATGAGAGATGGCACTCTGCAGTTTGGGTCAGACTCAAGTTATACTTTCCTTTTTAATGAAATATTCATGAAATGAAGTCTGGCAATTTTTCTCTCAGAGGCTGAAAATTAGTCCAAGTCTCTTATCACACTGAGCAGTAACTGGTCGGTGATAATTAGATATAGATTATGCCGTCTGCAGAACGTGTCTGGTGTTTAATAGTTGCCTGAAATAGCTTTGTTTTAGTTGAAACATCAACTTTGGTCACATTGAACCCAATTCTGATTTGTTGTTTCAAATCAGTTCTTTAGGACTGTCTGCACTGTCAGTTTGCAAGTGTTGATAGTCAGTCTGTTTGTTTAGACAGAGTAGTCATTATCTGCCAAGAGACTTTCATACTACTACTTTTTTCAATAAATTTCATTCTTGTGTTCTAGAAAAAAAATATAAACATCTTATTTTAAATTGATTTTATATAATATATATATGATATCATATTATATTATATTACCTAAGCACCCTTAAATGTCCCCTGAAATGCTTAGAAACACGCAGCGTTACTCCGTGTTGACGTCATTTTAACTGAAACAGGAAAACAGGGCGGGACATATCAAGCAGCCCCACCCCTTTTTAAAATAGCCAATAGCGTTTGTTTATATCACAGCTTGGGCTAGAGCCGTTCAGAGCCGCTGAGCTCCGTAAAGCCGCATTTGACAGGGTATGCCAGCCACAATCTCATCCATATTGCTATAAAATATAGCATTCTGTGTAAAATTCAAATAGCTCCGATACATTTTGTGGTCTGTGCGGCTGCGCCGACTCGCGCATGTGATCCGCTCCGTGCTATCGTGTCTCTGGACCGGAGCAGAGTGTGTGTACGGTGCGGTGGTTAGCGTGACACAGCGCGAAACCAGACTTCTTTTTTTCCTCAATGGAAAGCATATTTACACTGTTTGAATCGTTCCCTGTCCCCTATATAGTGCACTACGTGCCATTCATTGTACAAAAAAATACTAATTCTGTGGACTAGTGACCGATTTCAGCCACGGCTTCAGCTTCTATTTTATAGTGTAGGGGGCGTGTGCTTCGGATTCTAGAGAGCATTTGATTGGACAGAAAGTTTGATGAGAAGCTGAAGTACGATGTGACGTCAAAAAAATCATTGAGCCGTTTTGGCGGAAGTGACAAACTGCAAGCTTTGAATGCCTATATCTTCTAAATGCGAATTTTGTCACTGTTTTGGAGCACACTGCCTTATAGATAACCTTAATACTAACATATTGATACTAACACCCAAAAAACTTTCATTTTGATTTCATGGGGACTTTTAAGATACCTTTAAGTAAGAGGGTTTTTTTCACTCATGTTTTAAATAAGATATATTTTAATATATTATGTTTTTAATGTTAATGTGGATCACATTAAATGCTTTATAGTTTTTAATTATGAAATTGATGATTTTACTAAGATCATTTTTATTTTATATAAGATTTTTTTTAATTATTTTTATTATATTTTTTTGCTCCCCTCTGCTATAGTAATTTCATTTTTGTGACCATGCTCGCCTTCTGTCCTGGGATCACATCAAATGTTTTATACATTTTTAGATTTTAACATCATGTTATTCTGTTCTTCAGAGTATAGAAAATCTGCCCCCTCACCTGAGATCTGTCGCAACGCCGTACAGTGATTAACGCCTTCCTGTGTTCTTTTCCTAGATCACTGCTGCACTGGAACAGGACGAGACGGCGAAGAAACAACGACTGGCCTACAAAGTGGAGCAGCTCATCGCTGCCATGTCACTGGAGAGCTGAGAGAAAGAAAAATCTGGAACGAAGGATGAAAGACCTTCAATCAGTCAAACCATCATCCAAAGCCTCTCCACACAAAAGAGAGCAACACTGGCTAGAGACTCGACACCAACTATAGCTTGTGGTTTTTTTCTACAATTTTGTGAAGAGGTCACCTTTAAGACCAGTGGACAACTATTTGCAAGTCACAAGGCTTTCATCTTGATGATGGGATCAGGAGTGGAAACTATGGAGTTCTGTTTGAATTTTTTTAAGGAAAAAAAAAACATTGTGGGAGGAGCAGCTTCCTGGCACATTTTTTGTTTATCTGGTTTGTTGTCTTTCTTCTTTAGTTCATCTGGTTCGATGCGCCTAGCACTGATTTACATGATGGATGCAAGACACCAATACTTCCTCAAAAATGTGCTTGCTAAAACCATTTCAGGAGGATTTGAAAGAAGGAAACTGACATTTACTGCCTCGCCATTACTTCCAAATGTTATTTTTATACATGAGTGCTTTTTGAGTTTGTTTTGTTGAGTCGGCTAGTATAATTTCTCATCGTTGGTGTGGCGAAAGTTCAAGTCTCTTTCTTTTCTTGGAAAGCAGCGGCTACTACCAACACACGCTAGTACAAACTTAGACTTTCGAGACCACAAGGCATCGACATTGTCTGGGAGATAATGAAACTCCAACAAAAGGGGGCCAAAGTTCAACCAGCATGTCCCTAACTCTCTTCAATTGACCAGAAACCAGTGTCAAACTGGACGAACCCCACTCTATGGTCTCTCTATGTGCATATGTCCTGTTTTCTACATGTAAGCGTATGTGAATGTACAAACGTTACTCTATTTTGTCTTCGCATTTTTGTTGCTTTTCTAAAATAGGAGTCAGTTGAGCTGATCTCCATGGCACGTCGTCCAAAAGAACTGAAAATCCCTCTCCATAATAGCGCTGCTGAGATTCCGATATGAAAGTGACGACGAGTAGCACCTTCTGCTCAAATCACACGTGGAGAAACCCCACCTTCCCTTTCAAACGAATGGACTCGCTTGAGATCATCTTACCAGAGAGTATTAATTATTATGTATGGTCCAATGTGTGTGTAGTCTGCATGCATTATACAGTTCCACATATATAAAAAAAATAATAATGTCTCCTTTCCCATTTACGCCTATGTTCAAGTGCCAAGAGGTCACGTGAGTTGTGGATGACTCAGAGGAACGCCGATGATGTAATATACCATGTCACTTCCTTTCTGTACACACCCGTCAGGATAAAGTGCCAAAAGATCACTTATTTACGCACTTGTCGGTTGATGCTTTATTAAGGGAACGGACCCTGTATACTGTAAAAAAAAAAAAATCTCTGGTTTTGAAGTTTCGCTCTCACCACTCGCAAATTCAGGTACGAAAGAGCTTGGAACGGTATTTGTAAATATAAAGTATTTGTAAAATACTTTAGGTGTCTGGGATCTTGATAGCTTGAGTGGGTTTTTTTCCAATCTCTTTTTTTTCCCCTGTCTTTTATTCCCCTGCCTGACATGAAATATGTCAACAGAACGCATGAACAAAAGACAACATAGCTTTAATTTAGAATGCATGATGGCAGGTAGAGAGGTTTCTGAAGATCATCCGAACCAAAATAGACAAGGTCGTTCAGGTTAGAGTCATCTTAGGTTCATAGAGGAATCAGGGAGAGATTCCTCAGCTCTGTTTATACAGTAAAAATGCAGTATCGGATGTGAAGACATAGATTGACACGGCTCAAATGGCGCTTGTTGTTTTTCTCCCTGTGGCCTTAGAACATTGCATCTGTTGTTTCTAGTTCATTTAATCAGCGATGTGTCATTTTTCTCCATTTTTGTGACTAATCAGATAAAGAGAGCCAACGTGATGATGAAGAAGGGTGGAAGAGGCATGCCCTCGCTCAGACGGGTGCTGGGTGGTGTCTGCTGGAGTGTTTGAGTAGCATAGGAATGAGATGGAGAGAGAGACAGACCCCTTTAGCTTCAGATTCCTTCTGCTGCTTTGAAGCTCGCCTTTGATCTCAACTAGTCGTGTGCACAGTGTGATCAGGAGATTAAAAAAAAATACACATCAAAAATAGGATCCCGTGCAGGAGATTACAAATGAAGAGCTGCATGAAAGACAATGAATTAATCTGTTAAAGGAATAGTTCACCCAGAATATTCTGTCGGCGTTTACTCGTCCTCATCAAAAAACATGTTTGACTTACTTTCTTCCAAGAAACACAAAAGGAGAAATTTTGAAAGATATATTTTGGTCGATCTTTGACATAAAATTGCAATGAATGGTGAATGACGCTTTCATGCTTCACAAAGGATAGAAAACAGCATCATAAATGTGGTCCATATGTGCTATAAAGCTTTTTAGTGTGCTATATGTAGTTCATAGTGTGCTATACGTCTTCTAAAGCCATACGATCGATGTGGGAAAGTAATAAACCACAATAAAGTCTTAAAAGAGAAAGTGCATATTGTGAATGAATCGTTTAGAATAAAAATAATAATTCAGAGATACTACATGGAAAAAAAAAACTAGGAGAGGTATCAAGGTTTAAGGTAAATAGTGTCAGTGTCTTACACAAAAGTATCGCATTGCTTCGTTAGTATGAACTTATGGCACTTTTGTGTCCTTTAAGCTTTATAATGGAACTATCAGTATTTTTGTCTTGTTTTCCAGTATAAATATCAAAACATTCTTATATTAAAATCAATTATATATATATATATATATATTATATATATATATATATATATAACAATCTTTTTGTTTTACCTCATTGGCAGATATTTTTTATTTTAAGCAAAAACTTGATTTTAAATAAATTTATTAGAAAACAAGACTTCTTATCTTACATCATTTTGCTTGTCAAGTAAATGTTTTTTTTATTTAAAAATTGATTTAAGAATGTTTAGATGTTCTCCTGTTGTGTTCACTGGACGAAAGTAAGTCATTAAGTTTTCTATTTTGGGATGAACTATTACTTGAAGTTAGGGACAACCTATAGTAATTCCACTATTCCTGAACAACCACACATTCCTCTAACTAACACACACTGTATAGACAACATATATGAATTTACAAGCCATGTCGCATGTTAGTGACATTAGAGTACATGACAAAGCTTCCTACTTTTGGTTATCCATAATCTTCCCCATTTTCCATTTATCAGAGCTCATCCCAGCTCTAGGGCAAGAGACCTTCCATTGACCCCGCTGCACTTGAGGTTTTCCCAGGATGCGGATCAGTTTTAATGTGAACCTTATTTGCTGCCACATTAGTCGAGGAGGTACGTCTCTCCTGCTTCTACAAAAAAAACTATTTCAGAGAACAAAATATATTCTGGTCCTAACATTTTGTTCGAAATGATGTGGCACAGGAAATTGCACTTTGTTGAGAGATTTCAGTAGCTCAACACATTCTTTATTAGAAGACATTTGATCCCTCAAAAAAAGAGAAAAGTTAATTATAATTTTTATTGCGCTATTCTGCAGAGCAGAATAAAATCTGACAGCACTGGGCAGCTTTCTGAAATATCAGCAGTCATCTGTGGCGGTCACAACTGCTGCTAATTTTATATATTTGGCACGAATCTACAATCTTGGAATCAATTTTGTGCACTTTTATTGTTTTTAGCTCATGTTTTGCTCTGTGATGGAATAGCATGCTATGAACAAGTGAAATGTTCATATTCTCTTCATATTACTAATCGTAGGAGAGCGAGAAAGGCTTTTGTAGTCAGTTTGATCACCTCAGAGGTGAATATCCTTCCATTTTTAATCATGCAAAACTATAAACGAATCTCTCTTTGTAGACACTGGAGTTCTGTAAAATAGTACATAGAAATAATAATGACCTCGATGATGACGATGATAATAATAATAACACTTATGGTTGTCTGTTCTTCTTGTTTTTTAAGTGTTGTGAAAATTGTAAGAGAGTTAAAGTATTTAAAAAGAAAAAAAGTCGGTTTTGTTTTTTTAATTGCTTTTGTTTGTTTTATTATATTACTGTGTACCTATTGTAAATATGAAGCACACCTATTTTGCAAGCCAAGGATTCACTTTGTACTGTTGTTATATATAAATAAAAATTACTGGTTAAAAATGGTGGTCTACTCTACTCATTGAGAAATATTTCTGTGGTATACGCTACCCTGTCATTACCCGAAACAGAATGACTTCTGTCAGCCCGAGGGGAAAAATGGCCACACATTCATCCCACTTAGTTGGGGTTAATCTAGGGATGCAATTTAAACCCACACACTCAGACTCGCTGTGTAACAAGGTAACCAATGGAGCTTAAACAGCCCGGTGCTGCAGTTTGTCTTCTCACGTGGCCATTATCCCTAGCTGGACATTTCTCTCACGCAACACTCAGACAAATTACATTACAATGGTAATGGGCCAGTGGTTTCTGATTGGATGGCCATGTAAAATGCCCCCAGAGGGGGCTGAGATAGATGTGCCAGTTTTTAATCAATACAGATGTCTGGTTCAGGCAAGAAAACCACCAAATACAGCCTAAGGCAATGTGTTTTGTAACTTTATTCACTGCAACCTTGATTCACTGTTTTTAAACACAAAGTACGTACGCTGTTGACCACTAAGGTGACCCTGTCCCATAAGATGCATCATTAACAGCTGAATGTTGTCGGAACATCTGACAGGTAGTGATTTAGTGGCATACTGTGGTTGAGTAAACGTTCAAAATCCACTCAGATGAAAAAAACATCAAATACATGTCTAGGAAATGTATGTGTGCTGTCAGGATGCTGACGAGATCAGCAGGAAATGCCATGATGGTTGTACTTGTTTAGCTTAACTAGGATGTTCAAGCTCCAAAAATGAGAAAAAAACAAGTGTGCAACTGTATACACTAATTACACCAACAAAACCAAATTTTAAAAAATTACAATTTTAATATTTTTTATGAATTTTGTATCATTTTTGGAGCTGTCATTGTATGTAAAATTGCTACTGAGATTTGTGTTCAACTGAAGATAATTGTGTATTTGGTCTGTTATTTTATTATTATTCACATTAGCTTATATTTCTATATTTTCACTTTAATTTTAGCTCAGTTTTTGTAATTTTATTATGTGCTTTTGTCATTTTTATTACAGTTTATTGTTGATTTCTACAGTATATAGATTTAATTAATTTGTATTTAAGTTTCCGTTTAAGTCATTTTAGTTCTTCAACTTGAACTTGCTAATTGTAAAGGCAACATTTAAAATTTTTCTAATCTAAGCGTTTTTGTCATTTGAAGTGTTTTTGTCATTTTTATTACTTTTTATCATTCTAAATAGCTTCAATTTTATTTAAATTTTAGTTTTAGTCATTTTAGTTCTTCAACTTAAATCTATTTCAGTTATTGCCAAGGCAACATTTCAAATTTTTCCATCTCATATTTATATAATTTTATTTCAGCTTTATTTAAAAATGAAATGAAAGTGATGTAAATGATGACAGAATTGGGTGAACTGTCTCTTTAAGAAGCCTGGTGGGGACCCCAGTATAGCAGCAGTCCATACTAGAAAACTAGCAACCACAACACAACATATGCTGGTTGGCAGCTATGCAGTGTTTTTCAGCAGGGACTTCACTGGGGTTTGCTGAAAAACATGGGGATGTGTGGTTTGGCTCTGTTTCTTATTACCTGCAGGGCTGCAAAAGCGATCGCTACAAACAGCTGCAGCAGCTAGCTAAACAACCTGTGAGAAAAGAGCTGCTGGTCGATTTAGTTTTCACCATCCATCTGTCATTGATGCTTATGCAACTAGTCAATATTAACTAGCGTAGTGAGGCCTGTTGCTAATTAGCTGGTCAAATACACAGAGGTCCCATACAGTCCAAGCGGCTCAAAGGGCTAAGGGCATCAACCACGTAATAGCCGGTCATAAATATTTTAGCGTGTGCTCTGCCGAGACCTCTGATCGCCATTGAGGTGCTGCCCAAGGCAGTGGAGTGGGTTTTAGTGCAACTTCATTAGCCGTGATGCTTCACCGTGAATGCTGATGGCTTATCGATGTGTTTTCATGTGGGAATGTGAGAAGCTTTCAATACCAAGTTAAGAATGTTTGTTAAAAGAGGTGCTTGTTTAAGCTTAATTGGCAATTACGTCAATTTTAAATGGCTATTCTATAGCAGACTAATGTACATGTAAATCATGAATTTTGTTATTGTCTAATCAAAATTTGATTCATTATAAAACATATACACAGATATACAAGTTGTTTTCCATTTCAGAAGGACTAAATTCGCACTGTATTATTTGTATTATTTAGCTAGCAAAGGCTACCATTAATTTTTATATGATAACTGTACCAAATTAGCACAGTGTTTGCTTTCATTCACTAAAATTACAGGACAGGACTTTTTGTGCACAACCATGCCGTTTATAGACTTTACACAGAGTATACATAATATTTATCCTGCTAAAAAAAATGGTAAGCTTATCTGTCAGTCTGGTCAAGCTGGTTAGGTTGGTCTGCTTTGATGTTTTTAGAGGGTTTTAGGCATTTTTCAGCCAGTCTGGGAGACCAGTTAAAACACCAGTCTGACTAGGCCTGGAAAGTCAATAAACCATCTGAGATCCGCAAACCACAATATTAAGCTGTTTTAATTTTTACCAGGGTAATTTGCCGTGATTGTATTTGGCTTCAAAATTCATAAAAGTTGTGGTAATTTTTGATGATTATCTTGAACAAAACGTGAAATAATCATAAACATTCTTATCATCACAAGGCTTATTTTCTGCAGCATTCCAAAATCCTAAAAAAAAAAAATTTTGCCAACAGAACCAGGCCTACAGCACACTGTATAGTACTGCCGCAATTATACAGTGTGCTGCATACATTTTGTGCTCACTTACATGAAGTTATAAATTGTGCTGCTTCACTGATTATAATGCAAGTTTTCACAAGAGTGCAGAACTCAAAGGTTATGAACTGACGTGATTGACAGCTTCAGTGATTACAAAGAGAGTATTCTTTGCACACTTTCTGTATATAATTTATTCAAAATTTGAATAACAGTTGTTTTTCATGCTGACAAAAGAAACTGTAGTTGACGTTAAGTCACAGCTAGCTAAGTTGAACCAAACACTTATGTACAC